GAGAAAGGGTGAGGGTGGGTGAGTGGGTGGTGTACTGTCACAAGGGAATTATAAAAGAAATAGGTGTCCATATCTTAATACGCTATCATCACTATCATTAGTGCAACCCTAACCAAACGATACAAACACAAGTAGAATGAGGAGTGAATTAGCAGCACTCCTCACCGTGTTCATTGCCATGGCGTCGCTACTACCGTAGCTGCGATGGATAAGAAAATGGACTAAAAAGTTGGTCAAGTCAAACGGGATTTACCAGAATGGCTCCAAGATGGCCCTATCAGTGGATTATAATAATTGAAAAAAAGGTGAAGGAGAGTGTGTCCAAGCACCGCCTCCTCCATCTACAGTGTATCCACAAATTACTTCCTGCCCAGAGGAACATGCGCAGCTTGGAAGGTAATTACCGAAGTCTCATCGCCTAAGCCGAAGACATTTTGGCAATAATAATTGGAGAGACAACACTTCCGGTGCTGTGGAACTCTCCTTAAGACTTGGCTGATTACCCCTTTCCCCTTACTGTCTAAGCTTTTTCATGCTGGTCAGTAAGACACAGCAAGTGCCATCTATGCAGACCACTCGCCTGCTTTCAAAGAACCAAATAATGACTTAGTTGCTTAAATTTTTACACCAATCACACAGACACTCACAGGAAGGCAATAAGCACTTATGAACGTGGCCCAGTCCTCAACTCAGCAATTCAACTACTCCTTGCAGAAGTGGCTTGACACGGAACTGCATTCCAACACCAACTCCGGTACCTCTGGCAAACTGAATTCCGAGGACAGCGAAGAGCAGCGTTCTGCGAGTTCGCCCACTACTACAAGTTCGTCGATGGAAGTACCGAATCCCAGCAGCTATTCCCCTCCTCCATCAAACAAGGAATCCCTCCTCAAAGTGCCTGAAAGTGGAACCAAGTCCTATGCAATGGAAGACCTTCTGCGAGGCGATGCGGCATCTATGACAGAGGTCATTAGGCAACAGAAGCGAAAACAACCGACACCAGTGCACAAAATTGTGTTGGAAGACACGATGGAGATGAAGAGCAAGAAAAGGCCTAACGAGGAATTTCTAGCCGAACTAAGTCGAACTGCTACAGATGCACTCACGCGGGCTCTGAGTAAAAAAGCAAAGATAGCTGAGAGCGGACTTGAAGATGAGTTGAAGGGTTTGGTCCGAGAGGCCTTAGAGACAAGTTTGAATTATGTAAGTGGCAGTCATTCGTCGTTGGAGTTTGACAATAATGATAGCCGGCAACAACAACAACGACGACAGAAACCGAACGCTGAGCAAATGACAGAGAAAAATTTGGAGAAAGGATCCGCCAAAGCACCACAACAAATCACGGGCCCTTTAAAATTATCCTCCTACATACCCTCACCGACAGAGATAATGGAAGCCTTCAACACTAATAGTCCGGAAGGATTCAGTCAGTCATTTTCAACTTATTATGAGGCATTGTGTCGAATGCTCCAATCCCAAGGTAGCATGCATCCATGTACGTTCCCTACTCCATTCAGGCCTCACAAATTTTCGGAATCGAATTTGCCTTCAAAAATAGATATTTCCAAGGTAAAATTAATGGAGCAGATTTACATTAGTCAATTAAACAAAATAAATTCATAGATTTTTTGTAGGTGGAACCATGCATGGACTTCCAGAAGGTGACATCAACCCCTCTCTCGATCCCGGAGCAATTCAATCAGACAGAGGCGCTGGCCTTAGTTGTGAACCGTAACCGCGGCAACAGCCTATCCCCAGCTTATGAACATCAACACGAAAATATGCAACCCTATGAAAATTCAATGATATCTTGTATGCCCCGCAAGAAACGAACGAAGGTTACTGACACTCGGCTAATTCCACCAAAACTGCCTCCGCAACTACCACTCACATCCATGGATGGTGGAAATCCCTTCCTAATACCGGAACTTTCACGTTCTAAAATTGGAGGAACTCTACCCCACATGGCATCTCCACCATCCCTGCCAACCAGTATTGATCCTGCCTTCATGAACGATATTTTGAAGACACTTTCCGTGGCAAACGGTCACAACCATCCTTCCTGTTCCATTCCTTCCACTCGAAGCTCCATCTCACTGCCAGGCGGTAGAATATCACAGATGGATTTGATAGGAAATCTACTTCCCCCTCCTCCACCACCACCGCCTCCACCACTACCGTCACATCATCATCTCCATCACCATCCCAACGACTTCTGCTACGATATGCCGAATACGGCCGCGATGACGGAATCCAATCCAATTCGAAGGAACAGGTCCATAGGGGGCAAGCGCGTGACGAACACATCGTCGGCGTCGAATTATGGATGTGATGGAAGATCCTTCCTGTCCTCAGGTTCTACTTCAGACGAGGCAACCTCTGCGCTCCATCCTGGTCCTCTAAGTGGCATTATTCCCGTAAGTGCTTACAAGAAAGGTAGCTTTTTATAGCGAATTGACTTCAATTCCAACTTAAGACATATTTGCTGCATAAAACAACAAAAACTCGTAACTTTTCGAAAACGCGATTATAGAACTCGACCACCGGTAAAGCTAACATGTCCTCGAGTGCGGCAGCTCTGAATTTGAGGGAGCGCAGCCTATTAACGCTCATGAATCTTGACCTCAATTAATTCACTGTTTGATATCAATCAGAAGACTGCAAAAATGTGATTCTAGGGTCAACAGTAGATTATCTTTCTTGTGCAGGGCATAAATCAGAGGCCAATTCCCCTGGTCACTAAGATGCTAAACTCCTTGGTCTCATGCACGAGTTTTTATTCACTTCTACGCCAGAACAACGCGACTTTTATGACGGTATGGCGTGGTTCATCGACAGAAACACCATCTTGATTCGTTTTGCGAGCATTGTTTGCAACTATTTAACTTCTTTTGGCCATTAAAATGATCATTTAGAATAATTTGCCCAAAATGTCAACTCTGCTTTGACACGGGATGAAGAGCATATGCTTGGTTAGAGGATGACAATGCACTGCAAGTGGAGGGTGAAATTCACTTGAGGTAGATTTGTTTTCTGCATTTGCCGTTGTGGGGCCTTCGACGATCACTGAGCGAGGGGAAGTGGCCAGTTGACAAGCGCGAGACACGAAGGTGATCGAGGTAACGTTTGCATTGCCCACTTGTCAAATCACTGGTCGCCAATGCCACAATTCCGAGCCTACTTTGTCTTTCTACTACGGCTATTTATGAAGCTAGTCATCATTTAACCAATGATGGGAACAATACTTATTACTCTACTGTCAACTGAAATTGTGATCTATGCCGGAATCTAGGAAGTCGAAGACTATTAGGCGATATATTTAGAAGGTACTGACTTTGTAGAAGCATTTGTGGTAGTTAAATCCCTGAAGAACTATAGAATGGTTATTGGGGTGTCTGAGAGTTGAGAGTCTGTCAACAGCAAAGAAAAATGGACTAGATGAGAGAGTTTCTTCCAGCTGTCCTTTTATGTGGCTTTCCTCCATCACTAAAGTTGATTGTTGTATCCAAGAGATACCTGACCGCGCAAAGGTTAGTGTAAAGTGCCACAAACGCCCCAGTTAAACATCCTCCCTGCCTCGCCTCAACTGCTGTGTCTCCTCTCGTTTCCATTCAGCGTATCCCAGCCCTCAAACGACGTCTAAAAACTGTAACAAAGTGGAAATAAGCGCAGGAGGATGAAGAGAGGAAGATACGGAGACCAGAGGAAGGAGAATGAGGGAGGGGGTGGGAGGAGCTCGTATGTGTGAGTATGCACTAATAAAAGGTCCATTGTTACAGCCCTGGCCTGCCCGTTATCCGCAAAGGAAGCTTGTGGTGATGCGCATTTAATTCTATCCAAAGTAACATTTTAACTTTTAAGAAAGAAGGTGGGGCTGCATACACGAGTCGTAGTCATGGAAGTAGTAGTAGCAGCATTGTAAGGATAACTCCACACCCCTCGTCTCCTTTAGAAAGTGGTAGTAATGGTTCTGCTGGTAGCGATGGTGGTGAGGAGGGCAGCGCTTCCTTGAAGGAAGGCACAACTGTGTGTGCGGACACAGAGGACTGTGCAGGCAACAGATGTATCCAAACAAGAAAATTGGTGAACCATGAAAGAGAAAATGGTCAGTGATGCGTATGCCAGTTTTTGCACGTTTCATGTCACCGTCGTGTACACCGTGGAGGGCCTTTCTTCCCTCGGTGAGTAACAGCCAGCAGAGCAAGGCACTGGCCAGTTTAGAGTAAGAAGGAGACAGAGACGTGGAAGGAGAAATAACAATAGATTGGCGTTGAGAGCTGGGAGGTTAATGTGTGCCTGTTAGCCTGATATGGTAGATAAAAGTGGTACTTTAACAATCCTTGTCTCCTACTTTCCTTTTTTACAGACTACAAGTACTCTCACTCCAATTCACCTAAGAAAAGCCAAGCTCATGTTCTTCTTCACTCGATATCCCAACTCCAACCTCCTGAAAGCCTACTTCTGCGACGTCAAGTTCCAAAAGAACAACACTGCTCAGTTAGTAAAGTGGTTCAGCAACTTTCGGTGAGTCCCTCAAGCGATATAAATGGGTTATTTGAGGCATTATTCCAGGCGGAACTATTGCATCTCCTTATGACACTTCATGGGACCTAAATCTGCATTCACTTACTGATTTTTAAAGGTAGTGCATCCATAAACTTCATGTAGTACTTTTCCACCCAGCTATGATCTGTTTCAACCATGATTAGCTCTAAAGCCTGTTTGAGTTGGTATTTATTGCGCAGTAATAGTAGTAAAAACCATTTTAAGGATAATGAGGACCTGATGGAAGCAGGTAGTTAATGAGGTGGCAGGAATAACATAAGTATGCATGCTACAGAACCCATCATAAAGTGGGATGATCCACCACATCGATGTGTCCAAACCAGAGCACGAAGCATTTTTCTGCTTTTCAAATTTTTTACAAAACTGCAAGTAAAAACACTGTCTCAAGAAGTCTGCTGCGCCATCTCGTGGCTAGAAAAAGTCGAATTTAATTTACTGAAAACCGTGCACGCAAAACTGTCTTATGGGTGAGCCTGGTGCTCCGTCCCCTCGTTTCCCACTCCCCCCCTCCCCGCCCCATCCTACCAAGCGCAACAATAAAGAGGCATTTTCACTTCCTTTGGCAGTGAGAGTGATGAAAGGTTTTCCCGCGTCAAGGTGGGAACTGGGAGTGCGAGAAGGCAAAGTATGCCAAATAGAAGGATGAGGCGGTAGAGGTGGAGGAGGTGAAGGAGGAGGAGGAGGAGGAGGAGACGGTATTTACAGATTTATACTCTGAGAAATTTAATTACTCTCGGAGTAGTTGAGGTAGCCTTGAGGAGCGGGGCACGAAGGCGCTTTTTATGCACGCAAACTCGGTGTGCGCGCGAAGTAAAGGCAATTGCAAGTGTAAATAGCTCTTGCCACTTTTTCCACATTTGAGAAAGTGCCTTTGCCTCCTGGCCATGAGGAGATGATTGGATTCATATTGTACGCACTAACCTCCACTTCCACTTAGTCAGTAATCATCGGATTTAGCGAGGTCGTAGCCATCGTCCTATTCATTCGACATTTCTACCCAAGTCAGCAGACTAAAACTGGAGTGATAGTTGTTCTTTATCTGACCAGTACATGAAGTTATTGTTCAATTTAAGCCCCTTTGAAAAGGGGAAACGTTTCTTGCTTGAGTGTTTGGTCATCATTATGAAAGGAAAACAAAGTAAGGCGAGGATAACGCACGACAAATATGACAGCGCACCATTAAGGTAGAGCTGAGGAGGCAGTACTTGACAATATATTTGTCTCGCTATGGTTCACATGTCTCGGAGAAAATTGCCCTGACAAAACAAGGAAGAGGAGAAGGTGTGTGGGGGGAGGGTACGGACTAAGTGCGCTGCAACGCTATCAGTGTCCACAACTTTGGCTGGACAGGTCTCCATGCTTGTGCGCATTGAAGAAAACGTCACCATTTGCGTCTTTAATTGCAGCGAGTTCTACTACATACAAATGGAGAAATACGCTCGTGTGGCGATATCAGAGGGTATTCGCAGTCCTAACGAACTCACGGTTACAGTCAACTCCGAGCTCTATCGCACATTGGCCCTGCATTACAACCGCAATCAGCAAATCGAGGTAAGCTGTTCTGCCTCTGTTAATAAGGACGAAGGCGGCATTTGAGGTGCTTAGAAGGTCAACAATGACAAACGAGGGCATTCAGAAAGCCATGAATTGCACCCCATTGGGTGCTCTTCTATTCTAAAACATGGCACGTTACTGAGTTCATTCAATCACGAGTCAACGACACGAAGCTGCCTAAACACAATTGTGAGTACAGGGAAATGTCAAATGTACTTTTAGAACCTAGAAACGCAAAGGACTGGGGCAAACGCATAAAAAGAATAACTAAGAAGAGATAAGACTTAGGAGTTTTATTTAGTAAAGATTTTGAGGAATTATTGAAGCTGTAGTAGTTAAAATAGATGTTGTGATGCACAAGACTCGAGTTTCACTTTTTAAGACCCTCAGGTCCATAAATTCCTCCTAATGGGATTTTTCATAGGTCAGTTCTTTTAAAATTGAACTGACCCAGTCGTGTACTCTTTAAGAGACTAGGACCATGAAGTTTTGTTTTGGGTGCTTTTTTAGAAAAGCGAAACTCTAAACACTTCATCCTATTTGGTTTTAATAATTTGGAAATGATATTCCATTTAACTTGAAAAATAAGAAGGATTGGGTAAAAAAGCAGCTATGGCAGAGGTGGACCAATATTTTTCTCTTTTGCATTGCAGATTCCGGAATACTTCCGTGTGGTGGTTGAGACAACAATGCGCGAATTCTTCGTGGCCCTCTCCACGGGGAAGGATTCTGAGCAGTCCTGGAAGAAGCCAATTTACAAGATCATAGCAAGAATGGATCAACCCGTGCCGGATTACTTTAAGGACCCCAACTGGATGGCTCAGTTGGCGGATGGCTAAAATAAAGCAATAGAAGCCAAAGATAGTCATCTCGCGTCATTCTATCCCTCTCCCGTACACAATTTCGGGATGAGGCATCAAAGTGAGCTGTCACTGTGATTCAGCTATTCAATAGATGTACGCATATCTGTGACCTCTTCGGTATCTGTTTTAGCTCCGACGTGGAACCTCCCTAGATTTTGTATGTGTGTCTGGAGTTTCTAAAGAAGGCAAATAGATGTATTATTACAACATATTCTAGTTTCGAAGGGAAAAAGGGGGGAGGGGTGCCACTGATTAAAGCTGAGTATTGTCACAAACATAAGTCGTAAGTTTTAGCGTTTTGCTTCTAAAGATGATTCAGAGGTAGGGTGGGAAACCTCATCAGTATTATAGTACAAAAAAGTGTCCATGGGCTTTAATAATACCAGAGGTTTCAAAGACAGGCCTTCTATTTAGCTATGAAGAGCGGTTTGTTACCTTTTTTAGTTGCAATACCACATTTCGAGAGTTGTTAAAAAGCCTGCAAGTCAACTTTTAAGGGCACCTGTTCGATTTAAAAGTCATGTTCTCGTATGAAACTGCATTTAAGGCGAAATCGTCGGTGCTAACACTTGGATACATGAGCCCATGTTTACCTAAACCACGCGGAATCACGCGACACCTATCCTGCCGTCATGCCATTTGGTTGAGAGGTCATTCATTACATGACATGACAGAGGTCATTAGTGGCAAGTTGTGTGATAAAGGCTATCTACCGAGATAAGCGGCAAGAGAGACAGATAGCAATGCAGGTTAGCCCTAACTGATTGGAATTTTTCTTTGGTTAAAACCGTCAAAGGCTGGATCTACGACCAGACATTCACTGCCATGGGGTACAGTGAAACGACAAGGAATAGGTTTTAAGATAACACTTTCACAAAGCAGACTTTACAGGCCCAGTGCCAACTGGCATCGTTTTAAAAGCTTGTAAGTTGCAAACTAATTTTGACCTCAAATGAATGCAAAAGCTTAAAATATGAAGAAAATAAGACCATATTTGTTAGGCGACCAGGAAATGATAAAACTAATGCAAGGAGTCCTGGGGGAGCATATGATAGCTACAAAACCAGGTATTTTATCCTGAAAAACCGACTCTAATGGTGGCTTGAACAAGCTACTTGACCGCAAGTAGCTGACATTGGCAGACGAATTGGGCGTGACGATGATTGGTGGGGGGTGGGCGGATGGTTTACAGAATGTACACATTTGCACACAAAGAGGGAAGAGGAGAAAGCGGGAGGAAGAAGCTCATGTAAGATCAGCATATCAGATAGCGTCCACTCGAGTGCCCAACACGCAAGACGCTGTCAAAAGTCACTCGGCTAGGGTAGAAGACGCGGTGTAAGGCATAAAATAGAGCTATGGAAGAAGGAAGAAGACAAGAAGCGGTCAGTCACATTGCACTCAAGAGAAGAGGATTAATTTTAGGTGTGCAAATACAGGTTTTGGACCTTCACACCATGATTTAGCCTGAACTTCGTGGATTATGCTGCCAAGTGACCGTAACTATCCGGAATAAGGTGTTTTCTCTTAAGGAAATAAAAAAAATAGAGCGGTAATTTGTAAACTAATTCTTTCCAAACTCTACTAATCGGATTACGCTTATGATTACCAACAAAACCTCAACAAATTTGACTAATTTTCAATCCAACTTGCCTTTTACTAAATGAAGTGCCGTCAATTTGATTTCGAGAGCATTTCTGACTTTCTAAGCCAAAATTCACTTTTGGATCGAGTTAATGTCTGGTAAATTTGAAGGGAGGAACAAAAGAAGACGACAGTAGACCGAAAGAAGAGAGACAGAAAGATAATCTCTTCAAAGACCATGTAAGCATTTGAGATGAAACAGGATTCTGTCCACGAAAGGTCATGTGGAATAAGCCAAGGAAATCAGATCAACTGTCATTTGATAGGATTATAAACCAACCAGAAATGAACGTTTGTAAGGAAAACTGCGTTTTATTATCCATTAGCATTGCGTGGCGTAGAGCACCCTATTTGGGATCAACGGCTAAATTCCCACTCTATTTACTTAAAACATTGAATATCAAAATCATCGGTGGTACTCTAATGATAAATTCGAATAAATTCCACGTGTTTTGGGCCAAGAATGCTAGGACAAGCCAGCAGTTAAAGAGGCCCGGCAGGAGCTTTGAAGAAGGCCTGAATGCTGGAACCCCAATCGGGGATAACACAGCGGGTCATATGAAATACAAGAGAAAAAGGGAAAATCGGTTTTCCCTCACTTTGCTATCATTTTTGTCTATTTAAACAGCCATAGACTTTATCGTTTGTAATATAGCCGCATTTTATTGTTACTGCGTTCCACGGGAAATGATTTACAGCACGCATTGTGGAGTGCTTTGGCAATCACCTCTTTACGGCCTCAAAAAGCTGGCAATCAAAGTAGCTCATCTGCAGAGGTGGGTCTGGCTTGAGCTATGGCGTTGCCATCTATCATCTACCACAAAACCCCGCATATTTAATCAGCCCTCCGCCTAGCCCCCATTAAAAGGGCTCGAGGCTAATGAGAATGTGGTCTTAGAGGCACGCATGCCAGGCTGAAATTATGCTTACCCTTATGTGACAGTGCCTCTGGAAGCACAGCCTGTAATGTCCACTTTCTGCTTCTAGTGTTTACGATTTGTAGGCGTGGGAAACTTTAATTGCGTTGTACTTTAGCTTGAAAATATCACCTCCTCAATTTCCCCCCTCCACTCTCTGCTAGGTTCACAGAACCCTCAAGCAATTCGCCCCTCATGCTTTTATATCTTAGCTTTCCTTTGATAAAATGGCACAAAGAGGGAAATCGAGGAAGTAAGCATCGTTTCATTTAGGTATTTGAGTTACATTTTATTATTCAATCTCTCAGTTTTCCTCTTTGCAAACTTAGGTCATACAGAGTGTTTGATGTCGGTGGATAATGCTTTGATTAGTGCAAGAAAAAGTGGGAAATCGTGTAACGTCCAATCGAATTGATTAAAAATTGCTTGCGCTCTTAGATGTGTGCACGAAATAAATGAACTTCAAGACCTAAAATTCCCCCAATCTTTCGATCAGCAATCGGGGATTTCGATGGTGGCTGCCCATTGATGGTGTAGGAGTGTATGAACTTCGAGAGGCTGACAGGGTTCACTATCTATCCGATACCACAGAAGCAGAACCTAGATGCACTTATCATCTTTGGGCAAGATCTAGGCTTACACATCGTAGCTATTTAAAATAGATTATGCAAAATTAGTGGCTGTGAAATTCAATGCGAACCTCCAAACAAACCCCAAGGTCTAATCGGGTGATCGAGAAATTTTAGACCATGGTCGAGTATGGTGAACTTCTCGACAGCTGATTTCTTTCAGTAATCCCGCTGCATTGCACTGCTTCCATGGATTGCTAATTGTGGCGAATGCTATTACCCTGCAATCACGCCGTGGTTTAAAACCCACTGCATCTTCACTACCTCTGGATTCGGATCTCCCGTACTCCACAGCCTTACAAATAGTGTCATTCAATTTGAAAGCTTAAAGTAGTTTCCCATCATCCTTCATGCACCCACAAGGTTGACTTAAGACCATCTTGAACCCCTCTAGATGCGATCATTACCTTAGAGGAAATGGAGTTACAAAAGCAAACAGGTTACTCTCTCACAGTGATTGAGTAAGGTACTTATGCAAAGATAAGCAGTCCTTCCAAAGGTTCCCCCGTATCAAATTCCTCATGTGAGCCTGAAGACAATTCAATGACTCATGTGGAGAAAAGAAAAGGCATTTGGGATATTCGGAGCTTTGTGCTTTAAAACCAGGCTCAAGCAGACTAGCCGAAAGGATGAATTTTTCCTACCTACACCAAAAACTCAGAAGGGGATCGCCTCCCTGATAGTTGGACTAGTGATTTCATGCCAAAAAAAATGGCAGAGAAGGTTTGGTAAGTCAAAAAGAGGAGGTGGTTTAAAGGTGTGATCAATCGTGATGTAGCACCTCGTGCCCCTCAACATGACAATCTAAGCGTCGTGTGACCTGTGGCTTTTGGAATGGCACGTGTCACAGAGATCCCTAAGACGCATTCGCTGAAGAGACCCCCACCACATCATACTAATTTGCTTAGCCAACAACTTAGGCAGACATTCCTCAATGAAAGGCAAATACAGCATTGAATCCCCCCTTCTCCTCTATTTCCTTGATAGCTGTTGTGCACCACGTGTGTACGGGCACCGACATTGAGGGCCTGCGCTCGCCACTAATCAGTCGTAATCATGATTAGAGGACCTAAGAGAAGGATTCCAGAGTTAAAGCCTCTAGTGTCCCTGTTCAGAATACTGCCCCAATACAGTGCATGCGTCCCTAAAATAACAAACTCTCTGACCATTCTATGAAAGGTATCATAGAACACTTATATATGACTTATGGCCCCTCGCATCTTCTAGCTCTCTCTTACCTCAATTCGAGTAATCGTCAAGTTTTGATAATTAACTACGGCTTTCCGATCACTAGTTAGGAGTGTTTGAAAATGACCAATAGTTACATCTTAAAATTTCATTAATCTTCAATCAAGACTTCTCAGTTAATTGCATGGTTACTCCAAGACATCTGATGAAATGAAGACTCAATACTAGAGGGCTAGGTTTACTCCGCACCCTAGCTGCTACCACCGAACAGGTAAATATCACTGTTGGCCTCCTTAAACAACAATAACTAATTCTACGAGATGATCTACTTCCTGCCACACAAGATGTACAAGGGTTCACATAATCCCAGAAACTTCATGAGGAACTTCTGGTAACACGTGTTGGACTACCGCATTTCAGAGATTGATTCATTATTCCTCCTTACCTCCTAGTCTAGTCAGAGATATAATTACCTACTGAAGAGTCTTTTCTAAAATTATTCTAGAAACCATTCAGCCGAGGAGTGCCATATGCACTAGTAATGGACAGTGGGACGGAATTCATACCACAGGAGGTGGGAACGTGGTTGAAAAGTCTCGGTCACAGATATTTTCTAATGGTGTCCAAAACTTTTAATTCATTAGGACTGCTAAGAGATTATTCCAAACTGCGGTTAACTCGTGAAAATTGTCACAAAAATAGAATATGTTGCGTATAGTTTCCTGAAGCAGTCCAGGCCAGCCTTTCCAAAGTCGTGCTCTCAGGACAGGCAAACTTGGTTGAAATTCTGTAGAAGTCTGCTGAGTGTGCACTATTGTAAGAATTGTTTGAGATCATAGAGAGAAATTGCAACCAAGAATGCAGCCACTCTCACATGCCAACTTTTGAGTGTAGAGAAACGTCCTGCCACCAAAGACATTTTGATTATCTTGTGTACTACTTACCTCCTGAATCAAGCACTGGACGGGGTACTTTGGTGTCTGATGCGAATTCTACACCAGTTGCGGAGACTAGTAGCCTCAAGAGTGAAGCTGCAGCTTGATCAGAAAAACCTAAGGCCCTCAGAAAACTGTGGTGAATGTAGCAAACGCTACGATGCCAGATTTTGTCACGTCCCTTTTTGATGTATGACTGTTACAGACTACCAGCCTACTGAATACAAAGCTATCACAGCTGCTCGAGGGTCTCCCCTAGCACACGGTTTAACTGGTCCAAGGCTTTGAGCCTCTCGATGTCCGCAGTACTATGATATTGGGAGTGAAAATAGGCAATTAGAAATTGGCATTCACAGTATGCCAAAGCTTTTGTTTTGAGCTTGAACAAGAGAAAGACAATCGTGGTGCCAAATCCTCTGTAAATCTCTCAGCGGATCCTGAAGCGCCTTTGCATATTGAATACTCAGATGTGATTAAGCATGTCAAAACGTACCCTGCCAACAAATTACTTGGTACACGTTATCTCCGCAGGATACAATTCATAAGTAAGCCTTTTTGATGCTGAAAGGTCTTCCTTTTTAAAAAATACAAATCGTAATTATAGTACCTGACTATTAAAACAAGGATTTAGTCCTCTTCATTTAAGCAATAGGGGTCCCTAAAGCTACTTTTACAATGAAAAACTTTTTTACTGTACCAATGTGACCTAGTAATGATAACGATGGCACTTCAAACCCTTGTGATTATGGATGACCCAAAGGGCATGTGGTCTCCACCGTGAGTGGACTTTAAGTACAAACTGGATGCTCTTTCTGACGACGCCAAAAGTTTACATTTGACGGCATATGTCACTCCAAAATCCCAACAAACATGAATGGATTTGGAGGATTTGTGGTTAGATGTAATTCTAGCGTGGCTTAGCCCCGGAGTGTCACTTGCACATTCAGCTCTGAGTTGAATTTGCTGATCACTTTATTCAACAGACTACTATCGGAACGGCAAGAATTTCTTGTGGCAGTGCTAGCAATCGAGGTGGCCGCTGGGTGACAGAGAGGACGACGCGAATGCAAACCCTCGCACTCATCCGCGTAGCCATTGCTGGGAACAATTCACCCAGCACAGGGAGAGATCCCGCAAAAAGCACCATGCAGCAGCAAATAGCCGCCTAAGTGCCTTCGAGCAGCACAAGGCGTTGATAGCATCTGACTCTCACATTTTCTGCAAATGATGCCCCTTACGTCGCCAACGTCCTCACCTTCCACCCTTCCTCATTCCTGCCCTCCTCTCCTCCCCTTTCTCCCACACACCTGTTGGGGGTGCGCGAGTGTGTGTGTGTGTGCACATATAGCTCTTCCTAAAACGCGTTTGTTTGCCCAGGGAATTAGGCGCGTTCTCCTAGTTGAAGAGAGAGGAGGAAGGGGTGGAGGGAGGGGAGGAGGAGGAGGAGGACGAGGAGGCAGCAAGGTCATAATCTTGATTGCTTTCTTTCCCCGAATCTGTGCAATTAGCCATACCCTACGGGGCATCACTGGCGCCAGAGCTTGCCTACTACCTGTGAGAAAGTAATTGCTGGCCGAATAATGTCCCAGCACACCAACTACGTGAGGCTGGGGAGGGGGCCAGTGGGCCATTTATGCTTATTGTATGCGCCCTCTGTGACAGTGGACCTCGGGAGATGGTGCATTCTTTCTCTCTTCCTCCACCTTGTAAACGCTACTTTAGTCGACTCCATAGCTGACATAGTAATTTAACATTTGTGGTGTTGTTGTCAAGAGCCACTAAATGACTTAGGTGTTAGAGATACCACTGACTGCCATATTGTTATTTGAATGTACTCAAACTTTAGTAATCTACTGCCGTTTCTCATAAAGAAATAAAACTAAGGCGAAGTAAGTAAGGACAAAGTGATCCATTTTCATGAGGACTGATACCTGCCAATTTTTTATATTTACTTTCAATTTGGGCAGTTCGTTGATTCGTCTACAGGAGGAAATAATCAACACTAACCAAGTAGGTACTATTATTCGGTTGTTGCGAACCCTAATGGAGGGCGAGAGAGTAGCCAAGTGGAATGCAATGTTTGCTCCGAGGGGGAGGAGCGAGAAGAGGGATGGAGAGGGGAGAGGAGTCAGCAAAAAATCTTGATAACTTCCTTCATCGAAATGCCATTAGGCATGCACACAAAGATCGGTCCGTATTGTTTGCCCCCGATTTTCACGGCGCCAGTAGAGACTGTAAATACCATCAACTATCCAAGTCAAGTGTAGCGTGAGTCGTCTCAAACGCTTGAAAAAGGGCTTCTACGTAAATGAGGGAGATTAAGTTAACTCCTAAACGACCGGAACACCAGTGGGCTTCCGTTTTCTGAGGATATAATTATAACATCTATTCTCATCTCCCACCCTACTCCCCTCGACTTCCTCTTATCCCTCCCCTCTAGATGGCGAAGCAACCATTTGTATAGCGGAAAAACGATAGTAGGACCTGAGTTGCAGAAATCGAAGATGGCCCGAACAGGCAGTTGTCCTTGATAAGTAAGGTCGGTAGAAGTTTTATCTCACTTCATAAGAGATAGCCCTGGACAGTGACGCCACCGTTACTGCTGCTGCTGCTGCTGCAGCAGCTCCTACTGTCTTGCATGCGGGTAAATTGCCAACTTCTAATTTTCTACCGATAACACGCCGTCGGAGAGAAATCTTAAGCGGCATCAAAGTGGAGAGAACGTTTTTCTGCAACGCTCCCTCCCCCTCCCTCTCGGAGATGCGATCTCGCGCGTCCCTTCCCTGGTTGCCTCTCCCCATTTCTCGGGTGTACAGGCGGGTGGGCAGGTAAGCAAGCGACCAGGCGGGCCTTAAGCGCGATCAGTTAATTAAATTTGATTTGTAAGGCTGGGTGGGATGAGGAGGTGGAGAAGGTGGAGGAGGAGGCGTGGTGTAAGTGATCAAAGTCACCGCAAGATGCGTTTGTGCACACATCCCCTCCACATTGGCTCTAACTCCTGCGATAATCTTTTCATCTGACTCCGTACAGTCTTGGCAACTCCATGTCCTAGCCCACGTGGTGTTCATTGCATTCGCATAATATGCCCTGCCTTTAATTAATAACATAAAAATTCGTTCACAACTTTAATTTCTACAATTTATTTCCCCCTTCATCACCATAAGCGGAGGAAGAGGCAGACTCGAAGTAGTCTGATTTTATTGCCTACTGAGCCCCAAATCTCTTAGTCTAACAAGGCATAATGTCCCAGGGAAGTCTAAGACTCTGTCGATGGACTCGCTACTCGACAACACCTTTGGATGAGTGGTTAATGTGATCTCTCAGAGATTGCTTTGGGCATATACTTAAATCAGGAACAGAGAGTGATATTAAAAGTCCTAGTAAGAGTTGATTTTGCTTATCTCCCCAAAGGGGAATGCGTACATACTATTTAACCTGAACCGAACATATTCGCTCTTTTCCCATTCCATTGTACTTCCCATTGAATAATAAAGTGTTAATGCCTGAAGTGATACTTTTTGGATGAGATAATTAGCTCTAGCAGTAATTTGCATTAAAAATCCGCCTCATATATCAATCGTTTTGAAGAGAGAAGGTTGTGGGATGATTGATGATGTCTACCATCGTTAACTACCCTAATCCCCTGTTCTGCAGGAATGCTGTTACCAATTGAAGCTGCACCAACCAAGAATCATCTTAAAAAGCTCGTCACGTAAATGTCTACGGTACCCGTAGGAGAATATCAAATCTGTGAAAACGCGGTACCTCCTTTACTACCCTACTAGTTGGACAAAATTCACATAGATATGGCTGAGCAACACCGAAGTAGGAGCAAAGTGGCAAGGAACAATGGACGCGAGACCTTATCTCCATGGGACGATTTTAAACATCGTCCCTTATTTAAGTTACTACTCTGACGACTAGCAATAGATATACACGCTTGCCCTTCCCCAGCATAGCTCACAAATAGGGCAACACTCCGAATCCAGTGGAATTGCCAAGAGAAATTAGTGACGTTGCAGTCGGATATCTTCTCAATTGCACGCAATTTCGAAGACTGGGGCGATCGGTTCGTAGATACTTTTCTTACAGCACCGACTACGTTGTGATGACTGACGTAGGGTGGTGATCAAGGGAGAACCGAAGACGACACCCAAAAAGGAGAGGGGACAATGCAATACCTAGATTGTTTGTTGAATGTTTCGCTTTGTTTTCATGGGCACTCAAGTCTCCGTGATTGTACCTCAGCTGGGCAACATGGCCTCCGGGTTATGCCAGTAGGACCTTATCCCTTCCGTACGTCGATAGTGCATATTCTGCCCTTAAGGAAGTCTCGGAGAGCAAGAACAATGTTGTCAAAGGTTTCATACGTAAAACCAATTACTTCTGCTACAGCATGAATAAAATGACTTTTGTTAATCAAGTTAAACATCTAAATCTTGGTTGCATATTCGCACGTCTAGTGTTTTATAAGCCGCGGTGTTTGGGTTTAATCAGTAAGTGATGCATTTTATCACTGCAGCATCCTTTAACCTCGACAAAGTGATAAGCACCGCCTTTTACCATATCGGTGAAATTACTTAAGACGATAAACTGCGTTTCCGCTCGCAACCTTTTCACACTGACCGTTTGCTTATCCCCTGCCTGCCTCCTTTGTATTCCGTGCGCGATAGAGGCTAAGAAAAAAGAGTATACCGCCCTAAAATACCCCATTTCTAATTAACATCGAGGTGACAAAGGCAAAGCGCTGCAATGAGACGCGAACACCGGCGAGATGGCACAGCAGAGCGTGCGTGAGAAGATTTCCGACACGATAACCTTCAAACCATTTTAGCTCCTTAGAAGAATCTAAGGCTTTTATACATGTTTTTGTATTCATTAAGAGATTTTACAACTTTAATTATTTGTGCATATGACATCTAGGTAGGAGATATTTCAATAATGTTGGAAATCAGATGCAAGAAATATTTCATCTCCTGATCCCATCTTTAATTAATGAACACCCTGCTATTTCTTACGCAATTAAATGTAACATCTTAGAAAATCTGAGTGAACCAATCACAAAATCGTGTGTATCAACTTATGTGAATTTCGAATTCATCCTCATAAGGGCAATCAGGATTATTCAAAGTCAAAATGTAACTGTCATGACATCATCATCAAACACGATAAGCATAAATGACTGAAATACATTTACTTATGCCACTAACCTCCAGGCTTTACTGAGGGTTTATTATAGCTAAAGTACTGGAAAATTGTCTAATATTTTTTAAAGATTTTTCCCTTTGGAAGAAACAAATGTAGCATAAATAAATATTAATAAACCACCCCAAGAGAGAAGCATAGGCTATGAAGTAAATCAGGCAATTTTAGTTACCTCCTGGGGCGAAATTATGGATGTACCGATGGCTATTATGTGTATTTGCTGGGCTGAAGTCACTTGCTCAACGCAGTTAAATCTCCGTTAAAATGGCAAGTGGGCCTTAGAGTCAGATTTAGCCAGCTGCAAATGCTGCTCATACCCTTCCTAAGAGTCAATTGGAGTAGTAATTATTCACAAAGTGTTACAAACAGAGTTTATGTAAAACTCGTTACCGAATTTTCTTCTATTTCCCTTTAAGTAATTCATTTTACAAGATCAGGGCAAAAGCCATTTTCGCATAAATACAATGCTACTTAACCCACTTAAGTAAAAAAAGGGTGATAGGAAATTCGTGAAGATTCTGCGCTAACAACATACCGTTAAAACTCAAATGAACCGAATTAACTGGCATCGCCACAACGATAAACTCCACACGTTAATGGGTCTTCAGCAAACGAAATTGACACATGAAGATATTATTATATCTTATTTTTACAAGTTAACCACACTGGCTGACAAGCAGACCACCACAGGATTCTCGCATTTCTAGACGTTCGTTTTCCAAGTAGTTTGCCTATTATTTACTGCATGGTATTTACGGGCCGTTTTGAATTGGTAGTAGGCCATGAGCTAGGTACATCCCCACTTCATTTGGACAAAATTTTAGGTGTACTGTAGCACTACTTAATTATTCTAAGTAAAATGAATGCTGACAGAGAAATACAAAGTGCCATAAATATTCCTCAGCTAGGTTCCTATGGCAGCGACAGCCTCAAAAAGAATTGTCCAAAATTGGTAATAAATAATTGCAAGAAATGCAAACAAAAAGTATCTAAATTTTATAGCATAAATCCACCTTTGGGGTTCTTGTGAATAGACGAAATAATTGTGCACATTGACTAGACTGATTCCTACATCACATATTAGCATTGATAAGGCCAAGTTTGAAGTAGAAGATATGATTTGCAATTTAATAAGTTTTACTTCCACATGTTCGCCATCTCACAGATATTTACCATTTTAGTATATTTTACAAACGGTAACAAATTGTGAACAGGTCAGGTTTCAAAATAATGTATTAATTGAAAGGCGAATATTTTGGATATGTTACTAAGGCGTCAAAGAAGACGGAAAATTGTCAGCTTATCACACTGCACCGGATCATCTCTGAAATACTAAGAAAACAAAGTACTAGGTCAGAATGTGTACTGCCAACGTACAGAGGGTCATGGGGGCCACTAGTACGACCTGGAGGTCATGCCGCCCGGCAAAAGTTCAAAGGCGGAGTTTTTAGTACCCTTAAAACCAAGACGACGAGTTAAACAGCCAATCTAAGTACTACACTCATCTTTACCGCTAGGATGAAGTGACAATTTCGTTGAAGGATTTTCGTCAACGGCCTTCTGATGAGAACTGATTATGCCGATGTGACTAGCATTGCCACGGTGGCAAATCGCACGCATTAATGAGCTTTTAGCAAAAAATTCTGACCCATGCGAACCTCAATGACTGGCATACCAATTGACACCGGATTCTCCCATTGTTTTACAAACCTTTCTACAAGCATTTTTGTTACCATTCAGCTCATGGCTTTCAAGAGCTCTTTTTTTATTTGCTAGAGGTCTATGGAGTTGGCGAATCTCAAAGTCCTGTTAATGGGAGCGATTTTGGAGTTGATTGGCATATTTAGCATTTGTTACTGAAAATCGTAACAGGGTAAACACAGCACTCTTGTTTAGGTCCGTAAAGTCAAAGCACACCCGGAAGGCTTTGGAAACACCCTAACAGCACTATCTTAATAAATGCTTTTGTTTCCATCATACCTTTAGCTGTCCAAACCCGTTAGTCTTCGAAAATTTTGAGTATTTTTATCTTGATGGTTCAGCGTCTGCTTATGCTAGCTCGGTTAACGCCTCCCCAATTAATAATAATGCCCTTACCAGAAATGTAATCCTACAAGATAGCGGAGAAGGACTAGGTCGCCACAATATGATAAAATAAATTCGTTACAATTAGTTTGACTACAGGGCCGAATTTCGGCATTTCCGTAGGCACAGATTCATCGCACACAAATGTGCACGCACGCACCACCCACATGCACAACATGAAGTCCTTTGGCGCCTTCTTTCTTGACCTCGATCTCGTGCCAGCACTGACACACAACCTCCTCGAACGAGGAAACGGATCGTACCAAAGTGGACGCAGAGGACTGTCTCCTATCTAGGGTGTACGATTCTGCATTCGACTCAGAGAGGTATCGGTTTGCACCAAACATGGGGTCCAATCATCCACTCACCCTCTCACTCGCACGCATACACACACACACACACCCACAGTGTATAAAGTGGGTGTTCAGAATTTACTACGATAGAAAAAAGCTCAAGCAGTGCCATGCCCAGACAGTCCTACAACCTGCCTCGGTTGACAGCCTTCGCTGACAAAGTGTCAAACACAACCCATGAATATGCGAGTCGTGGGGACACCAACTCACCACCATCAACAGCTCATATAAACGACGCAGATGTGGTCTCCACGGAACTCTTTCCCCCTTCTATCCCCTCGGAAGGCGCGATCAACGGAGAACGCGACTGGATTGACGGACTCTGCAACTGCTGCCATGATAAGTCACACTGTAAGCTGATTAAGTGGTTTACAAGAGTATAGAAGATACATTTTAGGTAATACTTGATATAAACAGTAGTTTTAAGTGATTTTGGATAATTTTGTTTTTACAAAATATGAAATGTGCTTAACTTGGAAACAAATCAGATCTACTTGAGGAGTTAGCCCATAGATATGCCTAAATTGAACAAACTTGGGGACAAAAGGGTCCTGGAAGATTTACATCGCCTTGGGGCATCGAGTAAACTGGAAAGTATGATGATCTGAGGTGAGATAGGCTCCACATATGCCTTCGGCCGAGCGCAGTGCTGCCCTACCAAAATAATCCTTCTTTTAGATTTATTAATATGATCGACCGCTACAAATTGTCATTTTTAGCAGCCGTATTTCTTTCAATTTATTTGAGCAAGTTACTACATCAGTGCCAACAGTTTTGACATTTCTGGGTCTTTTTAAGTGGAACGTAAATGACGTATCTCTACTTTTGGAAGTTAGGATGTACAATGATTTGACCCAGCCTAGGTCAAACCCAGGAAGGGGGCATGCACATATTATGGCCGAGTTAAGGCTAATGTTTATCCGTACACCTTGAATTATCACCTTTGCATGCACAATACATCAGACTTCCCTAATTTTACAATTTCCGGATTGAAATAAAATTTAAACCGTCTACTAAACGAGGTACCTTTATCCAGTAGTAATAGGTCACTTCATTTTTCTGTAGAGATTTTCTGCGAACATAAATATTAAAATCAAGTAATGAATGATAAAGTCTCACCAAGGCACCGTTAAAGTTGTTTTTGGGTAAAACCATGTTATGGTTTTGGTGGTTTTCATTGGAACGGTGCAATTTCTTATTCCGCAAATCAAAATGGCTGGAAAATGGTGGATTGCCAAGCATACTTATTTTGGGTCTCATTAAATGCCATTAAAACGTAGCCAGATCTCAAAAATCAAATGACGTATACCGATGTTCATACGTCTACTCGATGCTGTCGACTAACCACTGTCTACGGTAAATGGACTTTGAAACTGTCTTATCAACTAAGTCGCATTACACAGTTCTTGTGACAGCATTTAGCAGTACAAATGGAAAATTGTTGTCTGCCTCAAATCCACCTGACTAAAATCACGGGACGTGTCACTGGGGGGGGGGGAGGGTGTTTATCGGTGGGAATTCGAAAAGACCAAAGTCAACTGGAAATACAACCTTTTAAGTATCGCCATCGCAGCAGTGGCTTTAAGTTTGAAAAGAATGGGGGGAAAGAATACTGAGTTTATCAACCTGCTGCCATAGTGACTTCAGTACAATAGACCAGTTGAATATGAGTAGGAAAACAATGGAGCATGGGTTGGCATGGCAACCCAATGCGTCAATGTCAGGTATTTCAATTCATAAAAAATCTCAAAAAAGCATTTTGTGTGTATTTCAAGTAAACGATAAGGTGGTGGAGTCCACGTTGAATATTTGAACCTTGGAATACACACTCTTTATATGATCTAGGACATTGTTATCAGGTAAAAGCTCATGACGTGGTTAAAACTGAACTTTCGTAGACACCCAGTTCTCAGTGGCGACTCCTAGCACGGAAGAGATCCAAAAAGATGGGACGAGTACTTACATCTTCTAGATGGCAGGAGCAAAGCTAGTAAGAACGGGTCACGAATGCCGCCACTACAAAACTGTTTAAGTTTACAAAGAAGGAATGCAAATAAGAAGTTTGCTGATCTTAATAAATGAACTGCGTCCACCACTCATTTTATAGTCAAATTCTTAAATAACTTCTAAGCTAGATCAAGGTTAAGTAAAAAATATTTTCTAAGGCAACCCCAATTGTGGAAGACTTTACAGCCTTATGCACGAATGGAAAAAATCGTGTTGGATTCGCATTACAAAGCAATTTATAGGTTGGAGACTCCTAATGTTAAGAGCACTTTCTGGTGATTCATATGGCGGAACCTCAAATTTAAATATCAGCTCTTCCTGGAAGGCCACAATTTAAACTTCATCACGAAACTAAGTAATAATTTCCCCTCTTTCCCTACTTAGGTGCTTTGACCACCTTCTTTCCGTGTTGCATGACTTGCCACGAGTACGAAATCCACGGCGAAGGCTGCGGCACTCCACTCTGCCTTTGCATGAGTCTGCTTCCATTGACGACCAAGTATCGCACAAAGCATCGCATTCGGGTGGGTGATTCATTGCAGCTAACAACAACAAAATTTTTTGTCTTTTTTCACACCTCTGGGTGGCTAATAGCCACAGTTCTGTAAAGTGCTTCAAATTTTTCGCAACTGAGTTTAGGCTTTCATTACTTTACCAGAAGTTCACTTCATTTGTTTCTCTACCTAGGAAAGGTCTTCTACAAAGGTATAGCTACTGTAAAGAATAAGGAATTTGGTACTCAAATAGTGAGATACAATTACACAGCGACTCAATTAATAACTAGGAGCTACAAATATCCAAGGTTTGGACTTTAAAAACAAGTCTACTTTGTGCTCCTCCTCCAAATTGCATTGTCAGCTACACTAGTTGACCAAAAAAATGACAATATTCCAAGATTCATGTGTTTCGAGCTACCTAGGAAGATAAAAGGCGCAGCGACTTCACACGGTGCAGTTCCATAGTGTGTGAACTAGTAAGCTCTCCGCCTTTTGCATAAAGTCGGCATTCGTTTACAAAATATAATTCAAAGTTCGCATTCACAAACAGACCTTTTTCCACGTTTTGGCGTATTATTTGTCTTGCCCTCGAGCCTGACTAACTAAGTTTACAGCTCACTGCGGTAGAAATGGAGGTTGTGCAGTGAAGCCATGTAATAGCTGGATTCCATTTCTTCACAACAGTGCCGACAAGTGCTTGATAATCATTCTTAAGCACATGAAACGGACAACTCAACATTAGTTTCCCTGCGATCAACCCTAGGCAGTGATTAGTTTTGTCACCACCCCCCCCCCCCACCTCTGTTCCACTCATGTCTCAAGCACTTTATGGCCCTACCTTGAAGGCTTTGTTCAAGGACTTATCCAAGGTGTGTCAAATGCTTCGGCAGATGGCAAAAAGAAGCCAGTGACTTCAGAAATATTATGCAGAGTATTCTGCCCTTGATGCACTCGCATAAAACTCTAACATGGATCTTCAAGGGCTGAGCGTCTGCAGTTAAATAAGGTTTGAAGTCAAGACTGCGGTTCTTGATGGGCCTTTTGGGATAATGTACGCCCAGCGCTCATGCGCCACTGTAGAATATGGTAGTACCTAAGAAATTGGTGCTTTGTAGGGTACCATGTGGAAGGACTGTCTGCTTTCGATTTTCTGCTGGCAATGCCATCTCTGCCGCCTCCATCGCGACTTTATGGCTACCGAAGGCGACAGCGATGGTAATCAGGAGGAGCAGACTGCTGAGGCGGCCAAAAAAGACGGTCCCTTTAGGACCGGCGTCGTAGACGCCCTTACTCGCGACTCGGCCAACGCGGACTAGCTCGGCGATATCGGTGGAATTAGCTTACGCACCCGTACACGCAATCAAATCTGATCTTTTTTGCTTTGCGCCGCATTTTCCTTAGCTTCTTGCTAATTTATGGACGTCTCTTTATTCCTCTTTTGAAGTCAGTCATTCATGCGAGAAATTAACTTTGATGATGGGTTAAAATTGCAGCTTTACCAAATGCAGGTATGCATTCGTACATTTGCTGAGCTGACAACAAGCCACCAAGACTAGCAAACTTTGAATCCGCCTATCGGTCTGTGCGTATTGAGCCCGCTTACAGAAATCCCAAATGCCTCGGGTATTGGTGGCCCATCCCTTCCCAAGTTACTAGGTAGTTTCGTATGTGCTCACAAAAATTGGAATCACTTCTACTATGTCCTAGGGAATTCACTAAGCCCAGGAGTGAGGACCCACATGTTGTAAACTGCAAAATATCAGCAAATTGTGTGCAAAAATGGCTCTTCTCAATGCAAGGGTGAAGACATTGGCTAAAATAGGTTGTTTCGCTGTCCACATACCTGTTCTGTCAGTCAATGCAGTCTGGAACTAAACAAAGACAATAGCTCTGACGAAGTCTTGGTCAATGGGGCGTTAAATTGACGAGTGTCTGAAATCTCGGTGAAGACGACACAGCATGCAGCATCCACAGAAATAGGTGGCCAGACAATCTGTGCACAGGCTTCCCTGTAAGAAATGAAATACGCATCTTAATTCACTCACTCCTTGAAAACTTCAATCTCCGAGATCAACCCCTATGAAATGCTGGTGCTTCGGCGTTTAGGTGTTAAAAATCCCTTAGATATTTGAACCGGACCTTAGACACAGTTGTGCAATACAATGAATGAGATGAATTAGGTGATAAACGGCAATGGCAGACACTTACCATAATGCCATTCTTGAGACGGTATTGGGCTACCAGAGCCATTAGGGGAGCGGTAAAACAGAAACCCAGGAAAGGATTCTCATTGTGCTCATGAAACTCGTAGGCCGCCGCGCAGAGTGGGCAGAAGGCGACGAGAAAACCTGAGTGACAAATCGCCAATTTTGATTTGGACAGTGAAAATGGGTGGTAGAAGGTATTTAATCCACCTCCAGCGTCACTTTTACCGACTGCCTAATTCGTGTGTCTTCATAAGAAGAAAATTTGAATTTGATTTTTTAAGTAGCAAAACATGAACTCTTGTAAATTTGCTCAACTATCACTTATCTGGATGTCAGAGCTGGAAATGGATCTGCCTCTCTAGGGATAGAGTATCAGAATATTTGGATCAATGATAGCGATCTGAGAGAAGGAATTGAAAGCATCGTATTATCAAGAACTCACAGTTTCCGATGTCCTTATGGCAGGAGCAGAGGTCATCGTGCCAGTCTCTGAGTTGACGATCGCTGGGTTGAGTTATGACGACGTCACCGTTCGCCACCGGTCTGTCCTGCTTCTCCTCTCTTTCCCTCTCTGCCTCCCTCGCACGATTCTCGTGGTCACCTTCGCTGCCGCTTGAGGATGCTGGCATGACCTTTTCACTTCGTCTCCTGGTAAATCCAAGATGCGATCGCACCTCTCCCGCTGGTGCTTTAAAACCCCCTTACCCGGTTCACGATTGGCGGAGAGTTGGTTAGACAATGTGCAGTAGCTGTAACCATGGCTGCACTTTGTCGCAAGTTCTGATTTTATTATCTGCTCTATTACTATGAATATAAACGCGAAGGTAGGGAAGAGTGACAGATTAAGAGGTTCACTTGCTTTGGACATAAAAATGAAACCCTCTCAATCGCTTCGGTTTGCTTTTCAAACCAAAACAAGAGCCTCATCAAAAATAAAGTTGAGTCACTGGGAATGAGAATGGGTTCTGAGTCTTGCGTTTCCACCCCTCGTTTTGTACTCTTGGAATGAGGAGAGGGCATAGAGGACGACACCTTTCATTGAAACAGTGATATGGGGTTTGCAAGTTGTGGAAATTGAAAGAGTACCAAAGTTTGTTTCCTCCTTAAGGGTTAAGCCGTTCGCTCCGCCAAAGGGTCGACGGAAAATGACAGCCTCTCAGCCATAAGGTATGTACACTCAAACACGTATCACTGTCATGGACTCAGAAAAGTAGTGTAGTCTCCTGTTCATGATTATGAATTTACAGTTAGATACGTGGAAAGGGGATCAGCAGATTATGCAAATGGTTGAACAAAAACGCGCTTCGGCCACATTGACAGGTAGAAAGGAGTTACATGTAGGCACAGTGGGTTTCAGCACCATAATATTGGTGCAGTAAAATTCTTATCTTATGCATGTAGTTGAAGGGCTCACGATGAATGACGGTAAACAGCAACTGGTTTTATGGACACGATTACAATACTCTATGTGTTTGCTTAAGTCTCAGTTTTGGTAAAGGGACCACTTAGGTGCTCCGCCATTGTACCTATGCGAAGTTGGATGGCCTTCAAGCTACGCCTGTTGCCTCAAGCCCCAATGTACGCCAATAATACACATTCTGCCAGAGTATTCTGTCTCCTTTTTTGTCAGAAAAGCCTCAGGGTGCTACACTGGTGGCAGCGGAAAGCTAACCCAATCTTAACGGACATCCGTCTTGACCCCTACCGCTGGGTGGTAAACCTCAGATGGACAGAAGAAGTGCATATGCTTCAAATGAGAGAATCGGCGGCAACCCATAACATAAGGTCTGAAAATGGCACCAATTTTTGGCATTTATCCCGGTCTCATGATCTACGGAAAAACTGCTGATAACGGAAGCGACAATAATTGTGAAGCATCTGGAAGAGCTCGTTACGGATCTCTCTAGAATTAGCAGGTAGATATCGATAACATGAACTGGCTATACTCCCAACCCCCACTTTTCTACCATTTGGGCAGCTCGGAATTGAAAGCAACGTGGCAAAACAAAAGAGAAACAGAGCCATACCCCCACGGAATTGTGCTCGATTTCATCCTTTTTTACACGACCGCTTTTGGGTCAGTGTTCCTACGACTAGCTATGGATTCGTGTGGTGGTCTGCACATTTCCCCATCCCCGAATCAATTTCCCACACAGGACGAAACTTCGGATCAGTGAAATTGTCAAGTGGAATTAGTGACGTTGGGGTTAGATCTTGCTCTAGTTGCATGAAAATTCGGTGAATAGCATGGTTGGCTGGTGGGTGTTTCCTTACAGCACCGATTACGTTGTGGCGGCTAACGTGGGAGAATGACCTGGGCAGCACCGAAGACGACGCTCAAAAAAGGAGAGGGGCTGTGCGGTGCATTGGCTGTTTGCTTAACTCTGGGTTTTGGTAAAGGGGCTACTTAGGTGCTCTGCTATCTAACCTTCTCCAGGTAGGCTGGCGTCCAGGCCATATTGCCAACCCCAAGCTCTACTGCATGTCCATTTCAATTCTCTCCAACTATTATGCTTTCCTTCTTCTTAATGGAAGTCTCGGATGGCTAAAAAGATGAAGTAAAATATACGCGGACACAATCTAGTGCTTCGCTTACAAGTCATTACTTTCCCTCATTCAGTGAAATTGAAATAGTAGAAATTTTCAGCGCTAGTATTTTGCATTTTAAGGTAAATATCAAAATATTATATAAAATCAATTTAAACCTGCTCGTTCTCGAATTTTGCAGTCCATAATAAAAGGTGTTCACTTATGTTAGCCGTTTTGAACAGTATCTCCCTAGTGAAAAATACTTCCTAATGGATACACAGATCTATAACACTTTTCACAAAGATAGACTCGTGTTATTGTAGTGATGTGCTGATCATTATGGCTAAATCGTTAATTGCATGGCCTATTCGGGCTCACAGTTGTTAATCATGTTTTGCTCAATATTCTCCCGATTGCTCCTTTGGGCCTTCAGCTCTTATGTACACAAATAATGAGTCATTCACAGAAGGCTTTGAAGGCTGTTCTACGGAAGCAATGGCTAGAGTGCTTGTAAAGTTAATTAAATGTTCTTGTTGGTTACAAGTGTGATAATCTTTTAATTCTCTATCACCTTCTGAAATTAAAATCACGAGGATGCCGATACGCATGCAGACAATTTTATTTCCTGTCTAAAGTTATAACATTTAAAGCAGCATCCAATTTCTTCTTAAACAGTCTTTTTTAAACGATTTAAATTTGCAATTGTTTGGTTTGTTTTATTGAATCAAACCTAGGGATTAACCTTGCAGGCAGCAGGCGGAGTACCCTTTTGATATTGGCGTAGGCGGGAATGGTTCTAGCGTCTCTGCACGCACTTGTCCGTGAATAAGATATAGGCTAAACTTGGTCATGGAAACTGCTAGTCTTCAGAATTTCCGGGACTTAGACTGCTTGTATTTAAGTCTTTTGGCGGAAGTTAAGGTAGTTTACAGGTATTTGTGCGATTTTTCCCGTAGAGCGGCGGTCCGATATGGGAAGATATCATTGGAAAAGGTGGAAAATTATTCACGGCATTAAGGTTTGTGTTTATTAGTAAATATTTTTCAGAGCGACTGTTCATGCAACAAATGCTTTCCTAGACGCCATCCAGAGGCTCGCTGATTTAGCTTCGAAAACCTCCGGTGGTAGTAAGGAGATTGGTGCACATTTCACGCGTTTATGCATGCGTCAGAAACGCCTCGGAACAAAAGTCAAGACTATGGGCAGGTAAGTTGTTAGCTGAAAATGAGTCAGGTATTTTTCTTCCACACATAACCCCATTTCTTTATTTATTCCCATCTAGTCAGTTGATTACATGCATGGTCAACCCACTGGCCGGTCGCATGGATGAGTGGAAGAAGACGCTTGCTCAGATCGAGAAGGAGCACAATCGCGAGGCTAAACGCACTCGGGGAGAGTTGAAACGAGCAGTGTCGGAAGCAAATCGGCTGAAACGCAAGCTGGCCAAACAGGGGAATGGGAACACGCCGCACAGCCGTCAAAGCAGCGGAGGCAGCACTATCGGTCAGGGTGTAGGTCTGGGGGAGGCTCCCACCTCCGGTCGGGTGCTCTCCTCCACAGTTACAAGTGGGATCGGTACAAGCTCCCTTGCCGTCCGCACTGAATCCGCCACAAAGGTTCTGGAGGAGAAGATTCGTCAAATGGAGGACCTAGAAAGGGCTACTATCAGACGGTTGATGCTTGAGGAACGCGGGCGTTACTGCTTCTTCTTCAACTGTCTCCGACCTGTGCTGGTGAGCTTTCCCAAGGAGAACAAACATTTTCTTAAAAGACTTTATTCGACCAAATGGCAGTAATTTAAGATTTAATGTAACAGTGTATTGCCGAACAACATCCAAAGACAAATTTGGTCGAAGATAACAAATAAGCCTCTGTATCTTGATGCGATATAAGTCATGATCTTTGGCACTCAAATGTTGTACACTGCTATTTTTTTCTGGACTTGACATCCATGTTTTTTTAATATAATTTTGTAGTGACGAATGCCTTCACTAAAATGTGAAGCATTATACAAATCCTAAAAGGCAGTTTAAAAAGCGCTCCCGGATTTTTTGCATTTATAAAATATTGCAAATCCCCACAGTTATAGAGGGTAGACTGTTTTTAACGAAAATAGCTGCGTGGAATGTCTGTGCATACAATTTAAAAAGAAACAGAAATGCGAACAGGTGGTGTGTTTACGATTACAGACATATTCTTCCATGTGAGTCGGTGTGTTGATGATCTGGTGCGCAATGAATTGAAATTGAATCTTCCGGCATTCACTATTACAAGTCCCGTTTTTTCTTTGTGGAAACTTTAAGTATGGAGCATGCGAACACTTGTTGTAGCCCCGAAATTTCTCACGAACGTGAACAGAAACATGTTCATTTGATCATCTTTCATGTTGTATTGCATGCCAGAAGGTCAACCATTGGTGATATAGTCTCGTTAACCGCAAAAGCCCTCTCCTGTGAAAACCGCAATGCACCGGATAGACCTCTACACTTTGTTGACCTCTCATTACTGATTTCACCTCCGTGCTTGCAATTCTTCCCACCATTACGAGGCCCATTCTTTACACATGGCTTGACTTTTGATTGTCAGTTATCCACTTAAAGTACCGAAATCACGCTGCGTGTTGGTGGGATGGCTGTCAAAAATACTGCAACCTGGTTTAAATTCGTCTTCCGATGACATCACTTGGTGTGTTGGCGCCCAGGCCTTCAAAGCCGGTCGAAACGCTTATTGTTGAACTTTACCATACCGTGGCTATAGTTCAGGATTATCTATGTCTTTGAGAAGCTCTATGATTCCCTTCAACTAGAATGGATTTGGGTGATGCTTCAAGGTGAATTTTATGGTCTTCTAGTCCCGCCTATTTTCTGTTTGATATTTTCGTAAAAAAATACTAAGCGAAAATAGTTTTTGCCGGAAAAGAATCCGGTCAAGTACTTAACCTATGATTAATATGAGGATCTCAAGTATCTTCTGGTTTTATTCGGTCCAAAATTTGCAGCGTTAATTCTCACCAGGCGATCGCAAATATCCTTTTCGCCCTTGGCTGGGCATTTTTTTCAACTTGTGATTGCAATTAGAAAAGGGGATAGCGCCGAAGAGCAGACTAACCTCTTGGATGCAATTATAATAGGAATTTCCGGTATCATACTCAGTTTAAAAGCACGGTTGCGAAAAAATGATTTTGTTGATTAATGTCTATGTTCCAGATCCCTGTTTGGGTAGTAAAAAGAGACTTCTGCAGTCCGTAATTGAGTTGGTTAGAAGATGAATGTTGGTGCCGTCAAGGTAAAGCGGCATTTGCCTTCTTTCTAGTTGACCTCCTCGTCCTAAAATCGCAGTCTACCGTCAGTTAATGAAGACATTACCTTTGGAAGGATTCGCTAGTGCCAATCAGAGCATCCCGCTTGTTTTTGCGACTCACTGTTTGTGATTGCCTTCTTCCTAATGTGTGGGGTCACTGGTTAACGAAAATTTCCGCAACCTTTCAGGTAGGCGTCTATCACCTTTGGCCTCTTCATTTTAATCTCCCAAAGGCAGCGCAATTTACCAGTGATACTTAGAATGTTTGTACTTCCCTTTGTGTTATCTCCTACTACTTTCATTTTTAGTATCCGTTCACGCTACCCATGCAAATCGTGCTCAAATTTTCACCCGTAGTAACTTTAAAGTGTTCAGTAGTCGGGAACCCGGTTTTGCCTCACGGTTTCCCTCCTACGATTTGGATCTGGTGTCCTACGCTTCGCATCCCTCCTTACTGATATTACGGTATGCGTGCCCACAAATCGTCCAATGGGGGCAACTTATGTCCCCAAGCGCCCTTGGAGGCGAGAGCCAATCGCTAGTGTAGTTTGATTATGTCTCCTCCTCCTTTTCCTTCTCCTCTTCCTCCTTTTTCTTTTTCTTCTTTATGATTGATAACTTTGCCAGTCCTGCTATTGCGTTAGAACGGCTCCATTTCTAGCCATTGGATTTTTAACTAAAATTGTTTGCCAAAAGGTGATTTCATCATTGGCTACCTTTTTTTCTAATTACGTCCGCTTACCATCGGTCTCGCCCTGCAAACAAGGCCGTGTTTCGTCTCTTTTCAAGTGAAATAGGTTTTGCTAAACAAACCAGAAGTTGCCCTTTTAGGACTACTAAGCAAATGATAGAACCGTGATTTCGCAGGGCCGGTATTAGTAGAGGCGCGGCGCCACCTTAGCAAAACTCCGATGTTCTAAAAATCCTCTCGATCAAGCAAATTCCTCCTTGTTACTTTGTTATTAAAGTAGGTTACACCGTGGCATATTTAAACTCTGACCTCCAGCTCTCTTGTAAACGGTGTTCACTTTTAACCTGAAACTGTCTTGGTTTTAACCTGATATAAAGAATGACCTTAGGTGTGACTACATTACATACATAGGCTTTAAGCCTCTGAGATTGCTTACTGTTTCAAATACATTAGAAGTATTTGAAGTGAGTAATGCATCCAACCAAGTAATGAGGCCACGCGGGATGTATAAGGGAAAAATTTTGCTTTCATAATCCGTTTTGAAACTCATCTACCTCAGCTACACCTAGGTCTTAAAAGCCGCGTTTCAATCAACTTAGCACAATCACTGAGGGATGTTTTTACTATTGTACCGTTTGTAGGAGACGGAAACCAGCCTCCTTGGTGAGATTTCTACACTGCACGAGCTCTTCACCGCCTTATCCACTGCGACGGAGGACCCGAGCTGCCTGCTAGAGGAGGCGGAGACGGTGTTGGCGCACGCTGGGGCGGTGGGTAAGGCGGGGGTGCCGGTGTCACCGAGCCGACCCCTTCACCCCTCCGGCACTAACGAGGTAGAAGCCTTTGCCTCCGCCGTTGAAGCGATCATGTCCAGTCGGCAGCGCCAACAACAGCAAGCTCAAGTTGAAGAGGCCACTCCAAGTCTTGCCTCCGAGAGCCTCGGTTCCACCTCCTCTGGGTGGAGCAGCAGTGGTGGCGGGAGAGTCGGTATCAAGCCGATTGGCTTAAGTGCCAGTCCCAATTCCAGCCAGGTCTCTGTCCACAGCACTAGCAGCAGCGTGTTCGGTCCGCAAAACCAGATCACGGCTATTCTTAGGCAGTCCCGCCCTCAGGTCAGCCGCGACACCGGTTGTATGTTTGATGAATAGGTTTATGTTTAGCCATTCACAGACGGAAGTGCTACCTAGCCTTCTCCAACGTGTTGTTCACTTCAACAGCATCAATAGTCAATTTCTTACTTTTTCATTTAAACTTTTTTTCGATTTCCTACTTTTTGGAACGAGTAAATGAACCAAACGTTAATCACTCAATCTTGGTAGTGTTCCTACGCCTCACCACAATTGCAGGTAGATCAGATATGCTTATGGCCGGATCCTGAATTCGCGTGTTGAAACTGAATGGCCCTGTCGTCTCATCCAAAAATACTGTCAAAAACCTTTACTATTGCAGTCCATCGTATGAAAGGAGTTACCTGTGGTTAAACGTAAATCAACAACGCCCATATATCACCGGTACCTACAGTCCGCGCCTCCCATAGGTCATTTGGATACTGATGGGAATTCATTTATATTCCTGGACAACACGGTTCCCTTCTCCCATCCATTTCGGATCTTGCGATATAAATGCCTCTTTCAGGGCGAATAAATTGTGTACATGCAAATGGTCCACTTTGCTGCCTCTACTGTGGAGTTAGTGCGTCTTTTCAGGGGTCGCTTCATGGTGATGATGGACGGCTGAATCTATTCCCTTCCCGACCAAAAATGTGTCGCTAACCTTGTGGTCTTGGTTTGCCTTTTCTTTTTCAATCAGGTCACATCTGTATCTGCTCCGGTTTTGTTTTTCAAGGTGCTTAAGGGAAATTTATGTAATTTATGTAGGTAGGGAGCTAACTCGTTTCTTTCTTGTAAGCCCCGCTAATTTGTTAGTTGATTACCATCAAACGAGATGACAAGCATGTCTTTCTAACTGGTCCGCTCCTTCCTGATGCCTAGCATTAGGCGTCCGTCTAATTCTGCCGAGTTTATTTTCCTTTTATTACATCATATCCCGCCGTGGACATTTAACATGGCAAAGCCTTTTGCTTGCGTATCGGACCCGACGTAACGCCGTCTCGGACTAGGGTTTAAGACCTCGTAACTGCGATTTTCGGGTCGTTGCTATGCTTCGTTGACTTTGCACTAATTGGTCTTCATTTGAACATTGTAAAATGCAAAGAAGCGTGAAATATTTTGCCAACTTCTTACTTTTTCCAAGGTTTTAAGAACTTCAATAGAGGGTGTTAAAACACCAGAGAGCAGCTCCTTATTGAGTTACCTGCACAGGCTTAGTTCACAAAATCTATCTCCTTATCGCTTTTGGAATTTTTTAACCGAAGCCACCATCATAGAACCTATCATCTACCGAATGTACACCTTAAACTTCAACTTTTGAGGATGGCAATTTGTCTTACAAATCCAGTCGGAGAGGGGAATGTTAAGTTTCTGTCAATTTTTTCTCTGTGCAGTGGTTATTTTTATAACCCCTTCTCAAATGCCTCATGGCAGATCTTGTTTATGGATCCACAAAGTTAGGTTACGCAGACTTGGGTACCTCAGCTGTTGTGTTGGCTGATTTTTACGCCCTGATAACATGACTACCGAGAAGGCTGCTTCCGGCCTACTCTTTTAAAACTCTGGCGACATTCTGAAAGCATAAGCATTTTATTAAGGACAGCCTCTAATCTTTTTTCAAGTAGGCAGGCTTCTTCGTGGAAGGAAACTCCCCATTTACAGATTTTGTGCTCGTGAATGAGGTCATTCGGCGGCACAAGTCATTTTTGAGGTCATGTCCCATTTTGTGAAATGGTTGTTACGTCGTTAAGCGAAAGGTTTGGACTGTTCTGCAATCTGTGCGACATAACTGGTGCCTCCCCATGCGATTAGTACAGACGCCGTAATAGCGAATGCATAACTCACGAACTGACCCGGAGTTAGCGAAATTTCCTGCTGGCATGAGTCTTCTTAACAGCGAACAATACTCCTCCAATTTAATTAGCATTTTAATTGACCAACACTTTTGATTTGGGTTTGTTTGACCACATTGAAGGCAACCGCGTATTGACGTCTTGCCAAGCTGGCAAGTATGGTGAAGTTTGTTAGTGGCCTTTCGGATTGTCAGCTTCGCTTGTAGCAAGCCTTCCACTTTTTTTATAACTGACATCTCGGTACCCAACCGCCATCCTGCTAGCGTCTACCACTGCGAAAAAAGGAGTATGACAACCGATTGAACGCATTGGTGGATTATCTTGACGTTTACATTAATTACACTATAATTTAAGCCCAAGTTCCTTTCCCTGGATCTGGATAACAGGATTTTGGGAAGTAGCTTGTACACTGTGTGGGGGAGCTGTAATTTCCTAAAGAGTTTTCACGTTTTCACCTTTACAGAGGTGGCGCACCATTCTGAATCCTACCTTTGATTTGAGCTGATGGCATAACTTTTATAATGCAGTTTTAGGATAACCTCATTCAACAACAGCCGAGCGATTTCTTGTTAATTGTCCCCACTTACATCTTTCACTTTTAAAGTGAAAAAGTAAAAGTGCTTTTTTGGCGCCCTTTCGAAGCGCTTTCACATCTGCTTTGCGTAGGCTGTTTGACAGATGGAAGCGAAGAGATTTGATTCCTCAAGTTTTGACTTCCTTTCGTATTTCCTGCTTTCCCTGATCACTCATCTAGCGAGGTGCTTTGTCCTTTAAATGGCCTCTTTGTCATAAGTTGGGTGTTTCCTCTTTTTAAATTCAAATGTCAGGTGTTTAGACTGCGTGCTGGTTTGGTCGTATTTTATTTTGGTGCCACAGTGGGCGTCAAAAAAGCGCTCGTTTTCGGAATGCCATTTTCCATCCAAAGGTTTCCTTTCATTCGTGGTCCTCCTCCTCATTTTTGGATAAATACACACACATGCACACACTGCGTTTGTTAGTTGACTGCCATCTTGAAATTTGCACAATTTTCAGTCCAAATCTTCTGATGCAATCTTCGTTTATGGCGCCTATTCGTTCACGCTCCTCTTTCATGGGTCATAGGCCTTAGCTCTTCTCTTCCATTTGGGCGTCCGGCTTTGGTAAACAATCGGTGATCTTTAACACTCTCCACACAAATTGAAATACGTGATAACAGTCGCAAAAACACTTGCAATTTTGTCGCCAATCTACCAAAAGGTGCTTCCATACGCTCGTTACATGTTCCTACCTAAACTAACAGCCTCTGTTGCGCTAAACTTCTGCATTTTGACCCACTGAGCATAACACGAGGTGTTTATAATGCAGTGATAAGGCTTCCTGGAAGGACCATGCATGCTTTGTCTCGTCCCGTTATCAATGCAGCCCTGATGACTAACAATGGTGTTACTTGGTGCCCTGGAATTCGCTGCTTCCTAAGTGCGGCGCCATTTGCAATTCACAGAGGCGTATCCGTTTTTATGGCTTCCAGTCGAAAAGGTTTCTTATTTTTACAGGTTAACCCTGTAACGTATTGGTGCCTTCGGTAGGACGTAGAGCGTGTCTCTTATGTTAATGCGATGTAGCGAGGTTTCCAGTGTCTTTGACAATATGTGGTGCTTGTAAACAAAAAGGATAAATGGTACTTGAAACGGCCTTTGTAGCGGTAGTTCCTGCCATTTCTGTAAGGTGCCTTGCCTGCTTAGTCAAATGATTTGTGTTGCCAATCCGCCTCACCAGTAACTGTACTTTTTGGCCTACGTTCTCGTTCTATACGAGTATTGAAGCCCATTAGTGTGGTTGTCGGCAAAAGGGAGGCGCTCCAGGTTCCATTTACAGACCATGGTTTGTGACATTCAATTTCTTATAAATAAACCTCGAAATGAGTGGTTTTCGGTGCAGCAGGTATGTTTAGCCTGCCTACTGACACAAATGCCCGCCTGGGCTGCGTGTCCAACTGAATAGTCGAAGGCGGACGTGGGACTGACTGGCTTAACGAGGTGTACGCCGTCGCAAAGGAATCAACCAATCTCTTGCTTAATTATCCCACCAGGTTCACGCATATTTTCATTTTTGAACAATAGCCTCCCGACATGTAGTTTAATGACTCAATGGAGTATTTAAAGAAAGACGACTCGGTTCATACCATTTCTTGATCTTGGTGCGAAAACTAAAGTCCCGTCACTACATCACCTGTTCATTTTCATTATAATCTAAGAACAGCATTTGAACTAAGAAATTTTCCTGTGTTGTGGGACAGGTGAGGTTCTGCTTTAAGGAAGGAAATGTATATAAAGCTAGCCTAGTGATCCGCTAATGGAATTTACTCTCGTGAATGTTTCTTCTTCAGTGCATTATGCAGGCATGATTAGTTCAGCTGGAGGCATTTTAATCACAGCAATCAAATTAATCATTCTTCTCCCTGTATACGTTGTCTTTAGAGACGTTTAAAGACAACTTGTCGAATTCGGTGTGCCTTCTTCAATTGGCGGCAGCATTGGTTCCTATTTAAATGCGGTATTGTGATTCAGCACTTGAGTGAATTATATGAGGATACGGCAACAAACAGTTTGATTACTTCTACCTAGTTAAAGATTCTGTATGTTACTACGAAAAAGTGGTGTTAATTTGACCGCGGTAGTACCACTAGCCTCAAACTTTCAAGTAGGAGCTGGAGTGTTTCCGTGTCAGGCGTCTCCAAATTCGCTTACCTTGAAACAGGCTGCATCGTCTCCCTCTTCTGCCGCTCACAGAATGTCTGTGTGATTTTTCGCAACCCCGCCCTTCACTTCAACCACTCTGGCGTCGGAACTTACCATTGCCTACCACACTGATGCCTTGGAGACAGTAATAAGCGGTACATGACATGCTGTGGTGCGGTTGTCATGAGGCTGTGCGTAATCCGTATGTCTGCAAAAGCGCAACTTCGCGAGTGTCTTGCTAACTTTGCCGCATCAAGCGGTTTCTTTCTTTTCAAATCATTGTCAAGCTGTGGCATGAGGGATGGCGTAACAAACTGCGTCTTTGTGTTAACAATGGACGAAAAATGGACAAAATATCGTCGGCCGATCCGCAGTGCGCACATGGCATCGCATGCCTGAAAAAAACGGTGCATGCTTTTCCTAAAAAGACCCATTAAAAACAAGCGGGGATTTTGCTTTAAATGTGTAGAATTTGGGGTATTCCTTCTGCTGGTCAGTTTGGTTTGGCAATCTTTTATTAGGGAAGTCAAATTAGACAAATCTGGTGGTTGAAAAGGGGAAACGGCATTTATGAGAAGCGTGACGCAACCCCTATCCAACCTAATTTGAAAATCAGCGATTTCACAACTCATTCGCCTGAGACAATGCAGGCAGGCTTTTCACTAGTAGCTTGTGTTTCTTTTTCACCCTGATCTCATTCTTCTTTTATCCATTTAAACACAATTTTGGAGGCTGGCACTTCTAGCGCTCGCAAATTTAGTTTTCAGTCTGAACAAGGCCTTTCCACAAGGATTGTTTTGGTTCTTTTTCTCTGAGCAATTTTGAATATCAAGCTGGAGGCGTGTTCCAATTGACTGCACCCTTTTACCTCGGGGATCAGGGAAATCATTTCTCTTTTTCGTCGTCGCATTTTCACGTCTTAATTGGAGGGATTTTAGAAAAAAAAAACAGAAGCAAGGGGAAAGCGTATCTAAGTACCTCGTTCGAAAAATGTCCTAATATAATAGCAACATCTCATTACATTTAAGGTGGGTTTATCAAAGATTTTGAGGTGTATTTGGTTTCCGATTGACAAACTTACCACCCTTTTGAAAATTTTGGTAGTGGAATAAATTTTCCCATGTATTTTTTACCTGCTCTGTAATTATTTAAGGCATGGAGACGGTCATTTGAGCGATTTGCAGGTGGGCGTTCAGAGTCGGCTTTCTCATTGCCCTCAACCACCATCTCGGTTCGCACAAACTGATTTCCATTTTTTTTTGGTATTTTGGCCAGCGTTATGCAGTCTTGATTTTAAAATCAAAGACGTTCAAATTCTTGTTCACTTTATTTACGAATTTTTGAAGAGTCCAAGTCCTCCCTCCTGGATCACTGCACACGCGAGTGTTCATTTCACTTTCATTACGTCTTCACGACTTTTGGATAATGTATTCACCATTTGGCCATTCTACATTAACTTGCTTTGCGAAAAACAATTTCCCACCGTAAACGCGACTGAGACAGATATTGCTATAACCATTATGGATCTGTTGAAATGGCAGCAAATGGCGCGACACCTCAAAAACGTCTGCTGCATTCCATTTGTTTAGCTTCCGGCTAATACAAGTCGGGAGAGGTCATTAATTTAGTGGATTTTGTGTAAAGCAGTGGCATTTCTACCAAAATTTTAGCAAATTTTGGTTTTTTCTATAGTATCCATAATCACGCAACCAACTTGAGGTTATCTTTTCAGTGAGAGAAAGTACTATGGCAAGGAAGTCCTTGATTCACACCTGACCTAATCGCATTGTCCCTTTAGGGAGGTGCTGCCAAAAGGTAAATAACCCAGCTTCTGAAAAAAAGCAAAATTTATATCGCTACACCTGATGCAGAAACTGAGGGCGGGGGTTCACCAAGTTTGGGCCGAGCATGTGCTCTTGTTGACAGATGGACGTAGGCTATTTACGAGAGCATCTCGATGTTTCTTCAGGTGAAGTATTCAACAGTAGTGCAGTTTCAGTTTCAAGAACTCCTTTCAATCGCTTCTCTTAAAGTGTCGGTGAATTTGAAGGACGTGAAATTAGTTCTAAATGCGAAAGGGGATTTGTTTAACGAATATAGAGGAATAAATAAGCAGTGCCGTGATGCGCTCTACGCTGCTTGTTCAAGCAGTAAAAGATTCTTCTTCCGCCGTAACAATCATACATGATATTTTTACACTACTCCGTTAAGGAAGGCTCATAATAATGCTCCCTTCCCCGTCTCTCACTAAATATTCCCCTAGGCGAGAGGTAGACCTGTTCCTACTTCCATACTCGAGACGAGGGAAATTTAATTCGGGTTTAACGCGTTATTAAATGTGGCTTAGTAAGAGCAGATAAATGTTCCCTCGGTTGTAACTGTAGGCAATAAATCTTGCCAAAGTGCGTTGAACGTGGTTTTATGGAGTTCAACCAGGGTTTTCCGATGGAGAGTAGCGCGGTCAAAAATTGGTCATTTAACTTGGTGGAGGGAATCATACTTCTGATTAATCTTCCAAAAAGTGGAAGCAAACCGAAGCAGTGGGGAAGTGGGATGAAAATAACCGTCTTGGGCGTGGTTACTCCATGTTAGATGCTGGAGGACTTACCTGCTTGACTTATGCTTTCTCTTTCGGCATCCGAAAATTGTGCTTGGACGTTTGAGCTCGATGAACTCCAGTGATAAGACGCACTCAACACAACGCTGAGGGATTTTGAAGGGCCAGATCGTAAATTGCTGTTCCTAATCCGTTGCTAATGCCTTCACTTGTATGAGAGTGGTCCTTTATATGCCGATTTCTTAAGTGAATTTTCAAAATTTCATTAAATTCACATGGGCAATTTTATGGAGTCATCAGATTATTTTGCCAACAGCCGGAAGCTACATCTTCATCTAGCCACGCACGAGGAGGCCACTTCTGTGAGCACAGGCTCGGAAGCTTTCGTTTTTAAATTATTATTCAAGACGAGGCAGCATAGTACCCCGGGTGCTTCTTTACTTCTCATACCGTAACAAATTTTATAGGAGTGGCAAGTGAGTCACCAATTGGATGTTACGGACGAAGATTGCGTTTTCTACTCAAGCCTTGCGATGCTCCCGCTTCTACTTCCCACTGATTTCACGGTGTCCTCCTACCTCGCATTCGTGTCGAAGGTGTTTTGTATTATCCCATTCAAGGGTGAACGGGATGACTGTTTCGTTTTGTTTTCTTTGGTACAAGTGGTTCTTTTATCCCCCATGCGTGCACCTCATTGTCGTCACTACGAGAAGGTGGTGGTGATTGGCGTGAGAAACCCTACGAAACAACCACATTGTAGGCTTGTCTGCTTGTGACAGTGACTTGTGGAAGTTTACGAGATTTCTAATTAGATTAATTGCGGATTCATAGTGCCCGGTTTTACGACAGCGGGAACTCAAGCCGTGCTTTACGGAAGAGCGTGATCAAAATTGTTTGTGGCTCAGTAGTCTTCGTTTTAGTGATGACCGCTTCTAACTGAGTACATAGTTAGAAACAACATTTATCAACACACCTATATGAGGTAATTTCAGAGGAATTCGTTTTCTTATACAACTTTTCTGTAAAAACCACCTCATTGGGAAAAGTCCCGGATCGAAGAACTGATATTTTTGTGTGAGATAATGGTAAAGTGTCCTTCTCTTTCTGTTGCCTGTGCACAAATGGATAGTTGCTGTTACCCGTATCTTAGCCTACTTGAGAATAATATCTACCATTTTCCTAAAAGCATGGTACCATCCCTAAAAGGCGATGTACCTCGTTGGACTTTTTCAACCATTATCGGTAATTTGGGCTGCAAGGGGTTTTTCCAAACAAGCAAGCTATCATCATTGGTAGTTGAACGCTAAATGAAGAATGAAACAATCCTCTTTTTCTCATACACAACCAAAATAGAACGACATTGGACCGCGTTCAGCCTCCGTAGGTCGACCAACGATTAATGGGTCACCTCAACGCATCGTCACATCCTGCGATGCCGAGGAGGTGATTCTCCGCCGCCCAACCACCAATGGAGCCTGCACAGCGTCCACACCCGCTCGCCAACGTCCACAGACCACAACTTCAAGTGCAAAGGACGCTCCCAGCTTCTACACTTCCTCCGCTGTCACGCCAGCCGAGCCGAGTTCAAATCATCGACACTCGACTTGTACTTTGCAACAACTTAACGATGCGCTCTTGTCAGCCGGTGAGGAGGCAAATGAGATGAAAGTCAGCGACAAAACTATGGTGAATGAGAATGAGGAGGTAGATGAAGAGGAAGAAACAGCGTCGGGCACGCTGGATGATGAGACCTCGGATGATGGCGTACTCTCCGATGAGCGCAGACTCTCAAATGGTGGTGGCGGAAACGCTCTCAGTGGCAGTGACGAACTGGGTCGACCGGCTCTCTCCAGTGTTCTCACTCGCGAGCATCGATGTGAGTCTGCAGCGTGTATTCTAGTAAAAGACGGGTTCGGTATCGCCATTTATAACCTCCCTTAAATTGCCACTTTTTCCCATGAAGTGTACCACCCCAATAAATGGGAAAACGCCTTCGCGTGAGGTAGTTAAAAGGGGTAATGATCTCTTACTGGCTTCCCCCAGTTAAGAATTTATAAGTATCAAATGCCGAAAAGTGGTTACTCGACCTATCTAGCATCCATGTTCCTTACTTCAGCACCCATTTCTGTTCCGGACGATGCCGTTGTATAATCGCTTACCTTTTTTCACGTACTATTGGAAAAGTAACTGCTGACATTGCTTATGTTCATCGGTGCTAGTTTCGCTGGGCTGTTGATAAATTCATGATGAATAGCTGCCGCTACTCCATGCAAAAGATTCTCGTATTCTAATGCTTTGGAATAGCCAAAGCGTTTTCCGTTTTAAGCCTCCACGTTTCCCGTTTTAAGCCTCCACGTTTCCACTGGCGTATTTATTCAACTCAAATTCCTACTTTTGGTAATTTCGCGCAGTCTGGATAAGTCTTCTTAATGCTGAGATTGTAGCGACTTTTACGACTTCGCTGCGAGAACTCAGTTTTTGGATTTCGATGTGTTTTTCAACCACGTACTGGATGACGCCTTAACTCAAAACAATGAATTTTGTCCCAAATATAAATGCTTGAGATGTATATTGCTGGCTACACTTTTCTGTGATAAGTTTATCGTGGTCTCGTAGATGTCGAGCGCTTAAAATAGTTTTATAATGTCGATGCCGAAGTTACCGGCTATGGTATCTAAACGAGAGTGCATGGAATGGCTTAACTTGCGTCAAGATGTTTTAGAAAGACTAAACCGGTTCAGAGACGCACTCCTTGCACTTCGTTGCAGCAATTGGACCTCACGTTCCAACAATCTTCCGACTTTCCATTTGAGACTTTGTGAAATAACACTTGGTTCCCTCAAGAATGAATCAAATTATGAAGGCACACAAAGCCTAATTGTCTCTCGAAAGACGACAGTTTCATGGCGCTTTTCACGATCTAATTTGCCCTATTTTCCTCCTATTTTCTGTTTGCGGCGGTGTACAGCTCCCAACCTGTCGCGTAGTCATTCATGCATTGCGCCAGTGCGTCGAATGCCCGTCTGCGTGCGTCGTTGCTGGAACCGGTCTGCTCCACTTACCGGCTATATGTTTCTCGTGATCTCTAGATGCTCCTCCTGGTTCGCTCGTGTTGTAGCAATTCACCCGAAAGCTTCGCACAGATCAGTGTCAGGTCCCAACTTTAATTTAGAATGAAATGTGGGTACACTTATGTGGGAATCTCGGTCTTTCCCTATGTTATTCAAGTATATTTTCAAAAAGGAGGAGACTGCGTCATCTTGTCGTCAGGGGAATATGTAGTGTCATAAATTGTGAGGTCTGCAAGCCATTCCAGGTGAATCTCAACGCCATTGTACATTACTTTAGACAGTGATTAAATTACTTGGATGGCATACTTGAGGTGCTAGTGAAAAGGAAGAAAGGCCTTTTTAATTTTTAAAGCGAGAAATTTTGTTGAGATTTGTTTCCGCTGTGAGTCATCGTGTGTCCATGGTGCGAAGAGAATGGCATAAATTTAGGTTGGAAATGCCTCCAAATGGGGTATGGGTTACCTTAAGCTTCACTCATTTGGACCTTTTTCTGCATCTCTGCAGGGTGTGTCGACCATCCATCACACTTAAAGTCTAGCTACACCTTTCGTGAGGTAGAATTCGGCAGATTGGCTCCTTTTTTCAACCTGCCTACTTGTAGATATAAAACCCATATTTAGAATAGCAGACTAAATCGTCGTTCTTCGGTTCTCAAGGTGATCTTGTTTATGATGTCTATATCGCCGTCGGTTCGTGTTTACTTTCACCCTGTGGTTTGATTCAACTTTTGCTGCATAAATATCTCAACCTACGCTCCATTCATATCAACCGGTGTCTAGACGCAATAACGCTTTTTAGATCATTTCGGAACAAAGCTTAAGTGAAAAAAAAATTATTTCCTCCGCCACACCGTCAGAAGTCGTTCGACGTGATATTTCGGAGAGTACAGTTGACTAAGCTTCTCAAAGTAACGGATACCTAGTCCGCGTTTGTTGCCTTGGCTCCGTTTTCAAGGGAAGGTGTTATTCGCTTCAGCATTTCAGCTGAAACTCGGCATTGCCGTAAATCATTCTACTGTCATTCCTCGTCTCAGGCCGATTTCTCGGTCGTATCAGTGATCTTGAGTTTATTAACTACGTGTCAAATTGTCACACGCTCCTTAGGCCATACGTAAGCATTTATGACTTGATTTATCGTTAGTTTAGCTCTGATGGAGGTGCCCTTTTTCACGTCCACTTGGTCTTTGTCCATTAAGTCGTCGCTAATTTATGGTCGTGTAGATGATTTCCCTCTTACCAATAAATGACGAGCCCTGTAATCTAGGGGGGGAAGAATACTACACAATATTATTCAAGGAAAAGTTACCCGACTTAACGTTAGCGATGGATGGTCAGGTTATTTGACAAAATAATTAGACGTCTCCTGCGGAATGTTACTTATGTGCCTCCGCACGTCATAACATATTCTCTAGCTTATCATAATTTAGCTACATTTATCCCTATGGTGCATTGAGACTTCCTTCTAGACTAGAAGGGTCACAATGCTAAGCTAGAAGACGTATTATTGGTGTAGAGGAGGATCAAGAGGTTAACTGGCATGACCCGGTGGCCAAGCCTCCCAGCGAAAATACAAAAACCGAGACTTAAGTACCTGCTTAAGCAAAACCGAGAGTTAAACAAGTAAAGTGTTTAGAAGCCCCTCTCCTTTTTTGAGCGTCCTCTCCGGCGCTCCTCTTGATCAATCTTCTACATCCACCATCACAACGTAATCGCTGCTGTAAGACAAAGCACCCACGAACCAACCGTGCGTAAAACCGAGAAGGTATCTGACTGCAACGTCACTGCTATCTCTTGACATTTCCGCTGGCTCTGGAGTGTTGTCCTTTTTAAGAGCTGCGTTGGGGGAAAGAGCAATATGCATGCCATCAAGTATGTCCATCACCAGTTGTAAGAATACTGGCGTTATCTCCATCAGTTGTAGTGTCTGCCTATGGCCTTCAAATAAGTCTCCACCACTTGGCTATGTGGCGCATTTGCATCTAGACCAGCGAATCTGATTTTCAAAATGCAAATTAGACATTTTTTGTGTCTCATAGGCATCGTACCATTCGCAACCTGACCGATCCCACATTCAAATATGAGACAGTCATAATGTTTTCTGCTTCAATTTTAGCAATATTTAATCACACCTTCCCTGTGGAAGCCGTTCACTTGTCACGGCAATCATCCAAGAGCGTAGACTGACCGCAAGCTCATTACTTTTTGGTGGGTAACAAGATAGCATCCTCAATCAAAATGTCTCTCCCCAAATCCATCACTTCTCTGTCATCACAAGTGCGGTGGACAGCCCCGTAATGAACGTTTCCAGATGGTTCATGGCTAGTATCGCTTCAATTGTTAATGCCTTTCCTTCATCACACGGGACTGAGGTAGTTGCCGAAGGTAGACGTCACAAATTCTCCCAACCACAGTATATGCTCTTCTTCCGTCACGTTAAGATTTATCATTCAGTAATAGAATTGGGCTCGCTTTCCGCTGTCACCAATATTGCGCGTCGAGACTTCCCTGAAGATGAAAGAAGAAATAACATCCAAGCAGAATATTAACTATCGACGTACAGATAGGATGAGTTAATCACCTATTTTAAAGTGGTTTGGGTGATACAGTTCCATCCTCACTCAGCATGTCCCTTCATTTAGCCCTCTCACGCGGCGGTGATCCACAGACAATGCTCTATCCGGATCAGTCACTCCCTCCGCCCGTGTACACCAACTTGAATAAGCTGACATATGCTGCCCATCGCAAATTCTACATGTCCTCGACTATGCCGTCGAACGCTCCCGACGTTGATGCAGACGCGATGGCATGGCAACCCATAGATGAAGGGGACAATCTCTCCATTGCATCCGCACCGCACGTTCAGCCCGATCAGAAGGTGACGAACGGGAGCGTCTACTCGGTGCCGGGTTCGCCCCACCGACCCTCCCTCTCCACCTCTTCCTCCAACTCCCGACCCCGTGGCAGTTCCACGGGTGTGGAGGACCCTTTCTCCGTCGAGATGGACGAACTCGATCGCATGGTCACTGGTGAGTGCTCTATAACTGCACGTTTATGTTGCAGTGGTTGAGCTCTTATAATAACCGAGGGACGTGGTGTTTTTTTTTAGAAAGGAATGTGGAACGGAAGTTCAGTTTAAGCAAATAAAATTAGCCTACTAAGGCAGACCATGTTTTCTTAAAAAAAAATTCCCGATGCGAAGTGGTTTAGGTAGCGAATGCCGAAAGGCCACTACAAATCAAAGTCAAATATTCTACTTGTAATTTAAATTTTCTCCCTCCTTGAAGGATCAAAAGGGATTGGGGCAGCTGTAATCAATGTTACCGTCTGCTTGGAAGAAGAGTTTTTCGAATGCAGCAGCATCTGTCGCCTCGAAAACATTAAAATCGTTTAAAAGACTCGACCGGGATAAGAGCTAGGCTGGAAGAAGGCGAAGCAAATCTGAATCTTCTGATGGCGTTCGCATTTACCATCTTTAAACTGAAGACTCACATGCCACTCCCATCTGATTTATTTACTTCCAAACAAGGGCTGTGTGTTTTTTATGTGAATTAGCGCAGGTCAGTTCGCTATATTTACGTGTCCCTTCATCTTTTTAAACTGACATTTCATTGATGGCTACATCTGTCAAACTTGTCGGGCGATATCCTAACACGTCCTCTCTGTTTGCCAGCCTCTGATTGAACCGAACAGCCCTATATTGCCCACCTCTTTTTAGCTAATTATCAACGATCAAGGTCAACGCGAAGTGACCCATAAATTTCGTCAAGGGTAACACCGTATTGACCCAAATGGCATTGGATCCACTCCAAGCTGTCTTAATCCGTGTGTATGATGGGGCAGTCCCACTGCTGTGAGGTGTGAGGAAGAAGAAGTCACGTACATTCATGTTCTCTCACGACTTCGGCTTCTGCAGGAAATGCCGGAATTGACCATACGATTGTTGCAGCCAATTTCTTGAATTTTCTCCTGCGTCGCCTTTCCTTTGAGACGTAGCGTAGTCTGTGGTTAGTAGTGCTTGCTGAAAATATTGCCTCCCTCCCTCTCCAAAGTCCCGTGCTACAAACTACTTCTTCCTCACAGATGCAGTGACTCACGTGATGCTCGAGCGTTAGTCTATCCAAAGGAGAAAAGCTGATTCGCCCCACACGCCTCGTCCACTCACTGTACAATTTATTTTAACATTTCTTAAAGTAGTACGACCAAACAGATCACCAATTTTTTGTTTATGACCCAACAACGCCATCAAAGTGACGGTTATTTTGAAGATGCAAGTTTTCCATTCTCACCACTCACTCATTCACTGCCTGTCGGTGCAGGTGAAGGAGAGTCTTGGAATCTCTATATCCACGTGAGACTTGTTACCATGTCTTTGAATCCGCATAAGTATGCACGTCAAACTCTCTCCGCCTGAGTGGTCAAATACAAGAGTGATACTAGTAGAGGAGTCAGGATGTTCACCTACTCCTTCGCGATTAGTGCGGCCTTTGGATTTACTTGAGAAGGTCGCTTGCTTTTGCGCTAGCTGATGCGGAGGCTCTTGAAGTCTCTTAATTGGCAGCATTCCAAAATACGTTGGTAGTGAATCATCTAAGTACCCGGTCTCTGTGTACAATTTCGGTTGCTAGAGCTCATTCGTTCCTCATAAAAATTCATTAGTTCCTTTTATAATTCCCCCTTCTTCTTCTCAAAACTATCGTGAATTGTTACTCTACCTGAAAGCGAGGTGATAAGCATTTTTGACGGTTAAAATTCTCCTCTTCCTCTTGAGAAGTGAAACGACGACGGTAGTTTATCGGGCCCCGCCTTCTAGTGACGTAGATTCCAAAAACCTAACCCAGCATCTAGTAAAGGAAAAAAAACTGTTTAATGTGAACACTTTCAACCGAGATCTAGTGCCACGTCGCAGTTTTAAGTTCCAGCTCCAGACTGAACGTTATCAGTAGACCACTATCTGCACCACCGCAACTGTGTTTTTGTCCCACATCGTGTTGGGTGGCTAATTCGATCTCTCTCCACCATTCTCAAGATAACGAACCAGACAAATTGCTTGCAAAAGTTTTAATACACTGATAAAACACGAGATCTTGCAGTCCAGTCCTGTCTCACAAGTATCCTGCATACCTTCTCTCAGTCTTTTTCATTTGGCTTGTGGTAACTGGTATTGCAAGCCGTCCACTTGTTTCCTAAATTGTGCGTAAATTGGCGGAAACGCTGTCGTCGCCGTTGAAGTTGACAGTGAGGTGTGACTCTCCTGCCAAAGAAAGAAGGAAAAAAAACTTTATAATGACTTACTTCCGCCCTACCTTTCTCTTAAGCCAAGCCTTCGCCTAATTACCTTTCTCTTTGTCATTTTCCTAACCGGTTTTTCAAGGCCCTTTAATTACGCAGCTCCATCCAACCCACCACCACCACCTTTGTTAGGCTCCGAGAGTGGTAGACTTGGCAAAAACTGTTGGTCCTTAATTTGCTACTATTTATTTAGTAATTTTGCAGCAGAGAAAATGAAGTAAAAGGATCTACGTATTTATCGCAGGAATTTTTTGCCTGTGACAACGCCCACCTCTGTCTGGATGAGTGGTGTCGTGTTGCGTTGTTTTAATTCCAAGCCCTCACCTCACCCAGGTTCTTAGCACAAGCCTAAATCGCACGGCTTGAGCGATTCTAAAACAATACTTGATGAATAAAAGATGAAGGCCTGGCTTTTTAGGCTAGTGAGGTGTTTCTCACTTGGATGCATATTTCAGTATGGTAAAAGCATTGATACGGAGATGTTTTTCCTCCAAAAAGTACCGTTTAGCAAAATTGGTTAGATAAGCTCTTCACCAAATCTCCGGCGAGGTGACAGTTTGTCCATTGCATAGAGGGACCCATGACCACATTACTCAGATTATTAGTAATTTTCAGGACTTTCTGTAAAAATCACCGGTGCTTCCACTCATCTAAGAATACGGTCGTTTAAGAATAGTCTTTTGAGCTATTTATTTTCGAGTTTCCTACCTTTCATCCATGATTAGCGGAACATTTTTAGACGTTTCCATTCCCATATTTTATAACCGGTCTCAAGGCAAAAATAGTGTTTTGATCTGAGCGGGTAAATGTTATTTTGTTGAGGAAAAAAAACATCCTGACCGTATGGGTACACCAGGAGCGATTCGCCTGTCCGCCGTCTCGGTCAAACAACCCCGGACCGCGCGCGTACACCATTTCGCCCCACTGGTGTGGACATGGCATTCATTACCTGTCCGGGCAATGCGTCACCTCCTCTGGTAGACGCCCATTTGGCATTACAAACACGTCTCTGGCCTGGAGGCGTTTATGAATTATTTATGGCGATCTAGCGTTGAAGACGAATTGTCATTCTGCGAAATGCGTCGATTCTTGGTTATGTATGTGTTGGGCTTTATGGGCTAATGGAATCGTCCACATACCCTTCAAAACATGTCAGTTGGTGGTTGAAAAGTGTAGCTCAAAGTTGTCAGTGAGGTTAGCTGTCAAAAGTGAAAACTCCGTCATTAGCCCCATCGACCGCAAGTTTACCTGCAACTTGTGGATCTGCCCTGCTGTGGGATTTGTTTATCCAGTCGTGGGGGCAAGTAAGGTACAGTGCGGGCATTTTGCCCGCTGGTGCGTCAGCAACCGCATTATCATTTTTACCAATCTCGGAGTCTGCGCCTTTCGCTTCCTCTACCCAAACTCCTGCTTGTTAAGTCCTGTTTTTTGCTCCTCTGCGTAACCGTTATGCGGGGGATACTAAAAAGACAATTGTTTACTTTGGGGTGTAGAAAATCCGACGCGTAATCCTAAGAGACATAAGCTGGCCAAGTTTATTGTCGCAATCCACCATTGCTTGTGTAAAGCGTTAACTACTTGTATTGAGAAACAAGGTGTTAAGTCCTGTTTAAACTGAAGGAGGTAACTTGAAATGAAGGAGGCTTTGATTGCTGGGTTCACTTGTTTTTACCCCTCATTCCCATCATCAAGTTGATTTACATGAAGATCTCAATGCAAGATTTTGTCACTCAACCCACATGACACATTCATTCCACCAGTGGAGAGCGAATAAGTTGTTTTGTCTTAGGAGAATGTCTAGCTTCGCGGTTGGGAAACTCTTTGTAGTCCTCCGAGTTTTGTTTTCTGTAAGAAATTCAGCCTTCACAACAAATGCGCCTTGACCCCTAGTAGAAGAATCATGGGTATTGTAGGTACAGCAAGTGCTACCTCCGAATGAAGTTTGAAAGGCTAGTTGTGCAATTATTGTCAGTGTCCCACGCTTTCCCACCCTAGCTGATGTGATTTCAGGCTGCTTTCTGGGGGCCCTTTGAACTTCGCCTTTGATGCTGAGGCTGATGGACATTTTTTGCACGGACGTGATCTTCTCAAGTGCGGAAGTGTTCCACTTTCTGCACCAGTGATGGTCTCATTGCCTGCTTTCATGTGCTCCAGTTTTGAGTAAAAAACTGGAATGATTCATCCAGCGACTGAATCAACCATCCATTTGTAGTTTGAGCAGGTGAATTACTTGGTCCTTCTTCAAGTGGGAACAAATTCAACCCTCTCCAAGTCACGTCATCATAGACTTGAAATATATGGGTACTGGAAGTCTAAAGAATGGTTAACCCTCGACCTTTAATGTCCAATTCCTCGGCAAGTAAGTTATTCAGTCGCTGCTTTATTAAATTGCAGCAGAAGGTGGGTTGAATTGCTGCCTGGCATACTGTTACACTTCTTCCGGAGCAATTTGTACGTCGCAGATGCCGCCGAATGAACTTTTGTTAGGGCGTCTCCTCTTGACATTTTTTTCTGAATGGTCTGCACACATTGCTTCCCTGAGCGCCTCCTCCATAGCAGCTATCCATTTTATGGACCTCTTTTTTAGAGGTAGTATTGTCGAACAAATTGACCTGCTTTTCCATTGCATCTAGATGCAGAGTTCCTGTTGACAATTTTGCCCTGAGCCCATTTAAAGCCTAATCTTCAATAGTTTTAATATTTTATTTTTTTCAAAATACTCTTCTAAACTATGACTTTGATTAATTCACAAAACTATCTCTTCACATTTACGCACCAGCCCTGAAAGCAGGTGAGTTTTTGTCCGGATAGAACTTGGTAGATGGAGCGAGGGAGGTCAGATAGTTTATGCAAATGTATGCGAGTTAATTATGGATGTTTTTTTTGTCTTCTTCTTCACCTATCCCTCCATCCTTCAACGCACTCGTCCATCCACCCCATTTTTGCATTTCGGTGCTCTAATACCCATCGGAATTAATTTGCTTCCACACTGCCTGGCCTCGGACTGGTAGAACTGCATTCTCTAAACAGCCACCACACCCTGCGCTCGAGCTTGGCTAAATTCACCAATTCAACTAGCAGTTTCTGCACCCTGACCTCGCGTTCAGCGACACACGCCGAGGACTCGGTGTTCTGTCAGCCCTCTTTCTATCATAACCAGTCCTTTATCGACTTTACGGAGGCGGAGATGGGGAAGGTGGAGAGGGACTTTATTTTGCCCCCTCCACCTGCCCCACCCAAGCCGAGACTTCGCGTGGGCTCCGAAGCACCCATCAGGAGCCTCATCAAAAACACGCGCTCCGCTACCTCCCTCGCTGGAAGGTCCTCTCTTCCTCCTCCTGTACCTTTCAGATCCTCTTCTCTTAGGCGAAACACCAAACACAGGGCTCCCTAGTTTTGCCCCGACTGTCTGTGATGCATTTGTGTGTCCACATGGACCCATTTCATTCCTCCCTTTCGTGACTTTTGTTACCGCTTCCCTTTTTACAAACCACGCCTGCGCCTTCAGCTTACAGTCGGATGGTTCTTAACCACCTAATTGTACGCCTGCGCTTTCAAATTTAACAGCGTATACTAGGTTTCAATGTATTAAAATATGATCTGTTTGTTTCTGCACGCTTGTTCTTTTTTGATTCATGGAAGCAATTAATCACACTCGTCTTTGACAGCTATGCTTCAAGCACTTTCATTTTTTTCGTACTCTCTTCGAACTGCTAGTTGACGTAATTGCTGTTCTGGAAAATTACTTCAAGATAGTTGTGTCGACGTTCAAGATTGTTTAATGAGCCATCTCTGTGTGCCGTTTGCTCTGCACTAGAGTTGGAACTGATATACCAAACGCTGTGACAACTTGGAAGCTTGAAATTCCTCCGTGTCCATTGGTCTTGTAGTGAATAGTTACTTATGGGATTTTTCAATTCACCTTGCGTCCTCACAGGCTTTTCCCCGACACCAACTAGTTGAGTAGACCCATTCATCTTTAACCAGGACCTTCTTATACCTCTATTCTACCATCCATCAATGTTTTGCATTTCTAAGGAGCTAAATTCCTCTTTTGACTGTTTCGTGTCGGTTTCCTCCTTCAAATCAGGTATATATCCTTTTATGCACAAATATCATGTTTAGACATTCGAACAGGGACTTGACCCATTATCGCGGAGGAACGGTGAATGTTAGTAACCGCAGCTCAGCTAAGGCGACTTTACATTGATGATTCTTTCCTTCTGAAGGAGCATTCACCTCCGGAGATTACGCCTTTAAGATCATTTTAGATGGCTTTGACATTATTCTGGGGCTTTTGCCCTCCGTTTGGATTCCCCATCCCTGTTGTGACTGCAAACTGTGCCGAATAGGTCTTGATAGCTAGCATTCAACCTCGGGTAGACTTTTTTTCTCCTACTTCATGGCAATTTTTATTTTAGTTCCTTGTATCCTGACCCATTTGACGTGCTCTAGGTCGTCCTGGCTAGACGACGAGAACGTTTCTGAGTTCAGATAATGGCCTCCATTAAGTTAACAGTAAAACGGAGCAAAAGTTGGCAAGCCCTCCACCCGTTAAAAGGCCGGTAGCTGCAGTATTTTGGCGTACAATCGTCTCAGTTTCGCAAAACGGGTGCGTTACATCTCACCACCCTTAGGTTACGGTTGAGCAGACCTATCCAGCATTTGGACCTTGTTGATAGACTTGGCCAGCATTGCCTGTATAAACACGTCGACTACCACGGTCAACGCCCACGTCTGTAAGGTGAACCAACCATGTCGGATTTACCGTGTTGCCCAAAACGTGATTTGGAATTAGCCGAAGGCTTTGGTGAGAAGCTAAAAATGGCTTAAATCCTAATTTCTATCACTGTCAAGAGCCATAGAGAGTTTAGGGGAAGATAAATGCTTCGTTTTGTTTACTGACCGTCCATGGCGGAAATAAAAACGGCTTGCATGACAGCCCCATTGTCTATTATGTTTTCCGTGACTTTTAAACCGGATCTATGAGGATTATTTGGAGGGGCTGTTGTCTCGCCATCCCCATTGACCGGATCCACAAGCCCTTTACCTTTTAGCAACGCGGCAAGCCGTAAGTTCATGTCTGTGTTTTCTATATTGTGAACCCACAACACAGATATAATGAATTCATTTACTCCAAATTGCTTTTTCCCGGTCCTGTTCAACCCTTTGGTTGAGGTCAGCAAATAATTTCAGTTGTTTTGACATTTTGAAGAGTTGCATCGAAAAAAATATCAAAGGAGGTTGAGACTCAGTGTATTTTGTTTACTGAATGTAACATCACAAAGTTGTTGTCGCTCGTGAAAGGGTTCCGCGTCATGGCTCGACAAGATTGGCGCACCAGGCCTCATCGAGTAGATAAAATCCCCTCAATTTAGTTTGAGGTTAACTTCGTCCGCCCCAACCTAGACATGTTCTGATCATAAGCTGGACCCACGAGAATGATTTTTCCAAAGCCTCGGTATTTTCACCTAGGTCTCAGTTACGCTTCCACAGGTGATTGCTAATGGTACTTCTGATGGAAGCATTGCTATGCTCCGATTCAGTTTTAGGGTAATGTAACAACTGTTGGTTGTAGATAGCAAAAATATTCTCTTCTCCCTCCGGAGAGCCAAGGCGAATAGAGGCAGGAGATTGTTTTTCTCAAATCTTCCTCGAGGATATTTATATAAATTAGCGGTCAGTAGCGATAGCATCACCCAGTCAACCTTGGAAAATGGCAATTGCTTTGCTAATCCTATCCATCCCATCTACATCAAAGCATTTTTCTCCGCTGTACATATAGTAACATGATTTCGCGTGGATTGGCTTCCATGGTTACGGTAATGCGAATAACCGAGATATTGTGCTTCGCCCCGGTATTCTAAGATCATGTGCAGTTGACGCAAGGCGTTTGTCCAGAACCTGGTTCTTAAGTCAGCAATTAATTAATCATTGACCCCAAAATGGCGTCACCTTCATGACCGAGGCATCGTGGGTTCACCGACTCAATTTAGTGGAATAGGTGTAGCCTCTCAAGCTTTCCTTTAAGACGAAAGTAAACGTACTATTTGGACGGAATATGTATAGTTGATTTGGAGTAGAGCTTGGGGCTTACGGGCATGGCTTAAAGGCCAGGCCGCCTGGTGGACATACAATGGCGAGACCCCTCAGTGGCTCTTTATTAAAACCGAAAGTTAAACAAACAATTAGAGTATTGCGTAGGTACTACTGTTTGCCGATATTTGCGGTCATGGATCTGGCTTTGCACATTGCTTTCGTATATAGCTATCTCAATTTCTAATGATCCGATTATGCATATTACTGCACCGACTTTTCCACCGTCCTACTACTAGTCCTTCATTTTGGTCGTACGGGACTCTGATTATGCCTTTTGTGGATCTAACATTGCGATCCTTCCTCACTATACACAACACAACTCGTAACTTGGGTGTTCTACCAACGAATTTTTCTAAGACATTTATTTGGTGAGATTGCCGGGTGTTTAATTGTGAAGAGTTAAAGCAATGTCTTTACGAATACAAACTGAACGTTGTAGGTTCTAGCGCTACGAGTTCAGTGACCTCGCGCTCCGGTAGAAGCGGCACCGAGCCTCCCTCTCAGCTTCATTCTCGCCCCCAAGCGTCCCTCAATCACTCCACAGGCATCCCGGTAGGTTTGCTGCGGACCTCCATATCTCCCGGCGGGAGCCATAGCGCTGCCTTGCGTCGCAGCCGCTCTCGCAGCTCCAGTTTCTGTGCTTCCCTTGCGCATACATCCGGATTCAGTGATCTTGAAGTTAGCGGGTTACCTTTTGCCTTGTGTTCTTGAGGCATATCGTCTTTTAATTAATCTAGCCCCTTAAGATATCGCCTATTATTGGTGAAAGGCTAAACACCACACGATTAATAGTCTTGAATTTTATTGAGTCCTATCGCCACATCTGCGTCAATAGGGCCGTTTGTCAGACCTAATGCTGAATCACCACCGACCGAGCTTAAACGGCTTTCCTGGGCTATTTATAAGATTACCTCGCCTGTGTCGATTCGCCACATTCCAACTTGAATATGCTCTCAGCTTCGTAGTAGCTAGGCTTAGAGATCTGTGAATCAAATAGTTCTGATCTACCCATCACGTGACAGCGGGCGAGTTTCCGTGGTCCTGACTCCTGATGCCTGATTTATTTTTCCATGGGATGAGATCGACAACAGTGTGACCTAACTTCTTCTACTTTAAAGTATCTAAGTAAGGACTGTGAGTTCCTGTAATTGGGGAAACGGTAGTTTATGCTTGCATGTGATTGGGTGCCTAATGAGGCATGCAAACCATCTGATGATCTGTTTGGGAATCTTGACTACTCTGATTTTCCTCTTTAATGGACTTCGGACTGTCATCTGTTTGCTCAGGACCCACTTACCATGGTACAATCATTGATAATGCCATATCGACACGCCTTCTTAAATAAGTCTTTGCGTCCGGAGAAGGCTGTTTGTCTCGAATGCAATTGTATGGTGATTGCGCAAAACAATTTATGCTAAATGGGTTCATCTTTTACTTTCTTGCCAGACTGGTGCGACACCAATAGATCCCCTTGCCACCCAATACCTGACAGCCCTCGAAAAATCCGCTAGCTGGGCACTTCAGCCCGCGTCCACGCGCCATAACACCGGTAAGTGAGACTTTTCACTACTCAAACACTCCCTGTTTTCACTCATTCAAGGCCATTAGAGCGGAAGGACCGAGACCCTAGTACTGGTAATTTCCTTGGGGCAATAAAATGAACTACTGCTGAGGCAATCTTTCCTATTATATGCCTACTTGAGTATCCAGTATTTTTATATCTTAAGGATATATATATCTACAATTACTCATCAGTCATCAAATTGGAGTCCACTCTTTTTCAACAAGCAATGTGGGCATTGAGGTAAACCGCCCAGCCTAAATTACATGGGAAGGTAGTGGAAAAAAAAGCCTGTAGCAATGGAAAGGAGAGTGGAATTGAGTTTTGCGGTTTTTATTCTATCTCACCAAATCCACTTGCCGTGGACAGGAGTCACAAAATTTAACCCACATTTTATGAATTACAAGGATCAGAAGGAAACAAGAGAATGTATTTGTCTTGGCCGGCTATGCTGGATTACTACCATACAAATAAATGAATTTTCTATATTTACCCAAGTCCTGGTCCCTTTGATTAGCGTAATGTTGTTACTTCAAAGGAAATGTTGAGGAATGCATTACTCTCTAATTAAATTTTCTGCCTCTCAAGTATTTCCAAAACCTGCTTAACAAAACATTTTGGAGATACTGGTTTGTTTTACCTTTTCTCGCTGAGCACCGAAGATATTTTACTGTCTGAATAGAAGAACTAGACTCCACGTGTGTAAGATCCTAAAAAGCCTCCACTAGCGATATTGCGTGGCTCTTCGAGGGTTTTACTGCGACTTTTTCTGTAGTGACGTCTCGGAGTCCTTTACCTACCTATTATCACCAACCTTCTCCTTCTCTTTCTCTTGATACATACGAGTCAGGTAAATTACCTGATTTTGACATTAGTGTGAGGCGGCCGGCTTTACCTAATCCAGTTTGAACGGCGTAAAAGTAAATGCATCCTCATCATTTCTCCCTTCTTATCAACTGCAGGGCATACATCTACATGGCTTCATTCTCCCCCCTGTGATTGAGTTTAATCACATCCACTTCTCAGCGCCGGAGAACTGCGCATAGAGTAGATTTTGAGGCATTCACAAATAAAATGTGTTTTGTATTTTCTCTGAATTGATAATGCATTCATTTTGCCAAAACTTGGATGTGAACTACTTGCAAATGAGGAAAATTTTGCCATCTGTACGAGTGACTAATTTTCATCTCACTGTTTACGTCTTGGATCATTCTCTTTATTTGGTTCATACCCTTCGAACAGTGCAAATTTTTTATCTACTGCAACTGTATTCGTTCTGGCAAACTTTTCCATTGCCATTTCAGGTGATTGAAGTAATTCTGGGAATTGCTGTAGCTGATAATTTTGCTTGCTATTTTGGGCTATGTAGAAATTCTGCTTTGTTCGGAACCTAATTTCAGGACGAAAAATTTCCGGATAAAGAATTCCTCATATTTTAATCACTATTTGGTGTCCTGTGATTTTTCCAGTTGCGATCCACTTATTGTTGATCTACTAATGATTGCGAAACACTATTCAGCCTTTCGAGTAATTCAAATTCCGTTTCTAAATATGCGTTTCTTAACTATGCATCCACAGCACGTTCTGAACACAATTAAGACAAATTCCGCTATGAAAAAATGTCAGACGATTGAGAACCGGTCGGTGCGTTGTGCTACTTGTTTTTATAAGTAGAAATTTTTATTTTAGATTTGGTGGCCGATGTGGAGAGTCAGGCTGTACAAATTTCCCCCACTGCAGCCTCTTTGCTTACCCAATTGTCCGGACAGTTACAGCAACTGACCTCTTCCAGTACAGTAGCATTGCTGAAGCATCCATCGGACACAGACGGCCACACTCGAAAAGAGTCCGGAGAATTCGATCTGCCTGCTCCTCCTTCCCCCGATCTGCTAGATGTTCGTTAGGACCGTACTTATTCCTTTCCCTATCTCTTTCGCCCTTTCCCTTCAGGTCCATCTAGCAGTTTTACCCATCATAATTCGTCATCATCTAGACTATGGGCTCGTTTCCTGTTTGAAAGATTATGTTACTCTCTTCCTACGTGGTTAGTCTGTATTGCTAAATCATCACAATCAAATGTCTGCCTCAAACATTTGCGAATATGCCTCGTAATCGTGATCCTGGTGTCCAATACAAATAAAACAGCAATTGTTTTTAGTCCTGGAGTTTTCCATTCTACGTACGTGAGATCGAAGCAGTAAGTGATTGAAAAAACAGTTATGGAGTTTCGTCTAGTGTTGTGTGAGCCAGCGCGACCTTGGGTGAGAGAGTAGTGATAATGCGTCAGATGCCCTGGGCGGCTTCAACATGGCTGTAGTAGACTTGTTTCTGTTGTTTCTAAGTCCGCTTTGTATAATTGCCACACTCCCTTACGTGCATTCCGCCCTTCATTGTCGGTAAGATGTTATCCCTAAATCTAGACGTTGAAGGTGTCCTACACGCGCGTCTTTGTCAGTGTGCTTATAAAATGTGTATTGTGATGTCTTATACTTAGTGCAACCCGTACAAAATAATACTTTGAGTGGTCAACTGAATGATTAGAATTGGGCAACGCCTCTGTAAATCTAAGGAAGAAGGACATGACTTGGGAGCATGTGTAATGATTTGGCACTTCGTCTAGCCGTATTTGCGATTCCACCGACAATTCAGTCTCTTGGGATTATTTTTCCACTGTGCAGCATGGCATATGGGCCGTACTAGTAACCTAGTCTGTGTCAGTAATGTACTTCCATACTGCTTTGGCTCACTACTACCCCGGAGAAGCCTTGAGGCGCTTGATGGGACATTCGTAAACCACTAAACAAACACGGTCACACATCATAAAATGTTTAAAATAATTAGTTGTGGCATAGATTCGTTAAGATGGGGCTACATGATGCTACTACGAATCTTAACAGGCCATTGAGGTTAAATAATTGATGAGATCACCTACCAGAAGTTAGGTGGAGCAAAACGCATGAACTGAAAAAGTCCCTAAAATACCCCATTTAAACGATAAACCGTGACATTGCTTATCTTCAAATACATACGTAAACATGGACTTTTTTCCCTACTAGACTGGCCTATAATACTTTTGCCCTTAAAATGCATACTTTGTGGGAACACAAAGGTGTTGGCAAAACCCACTTGTCTGCCTTATTCGGAGACTATAAGAAGGCATTTAGTATGTGGAATCAAAATTGACACAACAACAAAATCACCAAGGAAGTTGTGTTTGATACTAGACAGCAAATGGGGACATGTGGCGCCCAAGTCCTTCCTATAAAAGCAGCATGGAAGTAATCAACCAAGGTAGTGCGAAGGAACAAATGACACCAAAGGACAGAAGAGATGCGAGGCTACAGACAGTCCGAACGCCATACTGCAGAGCAGGAGCACAAGCCGTAGAGAACGAAGCACCAGTGCAGTTGAAGAACACAGCGAAACAATACTGAATCACTTCAAATATTTATTGATTACAGCGAACATTACTAAAATTCTTAAACATCTAAGCTGATTACTCAGCCTCAATTTGATCAGTCGAGGTAACCGTCTGAACGCAAACTTTGAGTGAGAGGCGGTTAGCATACTCCAGCTGAGTAACTGAAGGGACGGCATCGACCCCTGAGGCGGAAACGAACTCTGATCCCATACAACCCGAACTCATGCTCCTCTCTAATTAATCTGCGTGTTCAAAGGTATGGAGGCAGAGACGGAATAGTGAAACGCTGAGTACCTTGTACGTACATCCTAATAGAGACTTAGTGTGTTTGGGACTACATAATGAACATAAAATAGCTACAAAACATGCACAGTTATGAAATATACATCATATTTCTAGGCACAGATTTTGTTGCGTCTGCCCCACCAAATTCATGTTTCCTTCAATTTCATTAAAATAATCTCATCTATATTAATTACAAGACTTTTTGACGTAAATAAATTTTAGTAGGTAGGAATGAGATTCAAAGTCCATAGGTAATCTCGAGTCCAAATAAATAAACTGTACTTAAACTATCTAGGCACCTTGAGAACTTTCAAGAATACATTGGTCATGCTAAGAGCCCATCATTTAACAAATTCAATGAATTCGCTACTTAGTCTTTCCATTTTACTTAAAAAGCAGATAATCTAAAGCATGCAGACGACTATCTAGTTTATTGTAATTTTATTGGGCCTTACATGATGACACTTGCTTTAATCTCAGCTACTCGTGGGCCGGCCTAGAAAATCAATGACCTTCTCATCCAATAGTTGGCATTTTTGAAGGATGACTGCCGATGCTGTTGATATCGGGTCGGTCGTTGGCGAAACAGAAGATGATCTGGCTCAAAAATTGGAGGAATTAAATAGGTATTGCGCTAACTCTTTTTACTTGTCCAGGAATTTGAGCGCAGATTCGAAGGCTGTTACCTCTTGTTCCTCAGCGAGCAAGTTTAATCGTACCTCCTCAAAAACAAGTTTGATTTCCTCCCTTTCTGATGGCAGTTATGGTACGCCTAGTTTCTTATCATGGGTCGTTGAACATTTTCAAAAATAACTAAAAATATGTTTCGAAGAATCTCATTTATTCCATATGTGTTCCACTTAATGCCTGGAGTTTTATTCTCATGGGCCGGTGTTTATCTTCCAGTGGGTGGCGAAGATGAGAACAACAGTAATCTGTTCATCTGTTCTGAAAAGAAGCCTAATCGATGGCCATCATTTTCAAGCGCCTTTCCCAGTTTCATAAACACTGGCTCGAACGCACCACCTCCATCAACAATATCACTTTGTCACCAGTGGAGTACCGTTATAAACAACTGGGAACAATATTCCAAGAAGAAGGGATTCATTGCTGTATGTTCTCATGCATGAAATCATTTGACTTGCGTAATATGTAACAGTTCTCTGTCGTCACAACCTCTGTCCTTCTCTATTTGGGTTCGCTTTGATGGTCACTGATGTTTGAATAGTTTATATACTCGTAATTTATCAGGGATTTTTATACTAAATCCGTTTTAAATGTGGTGCTCCGATGACTATTCTAGAAATGAGCATGTTTGTTTCGTAACACGTTTATCCTTTTGTTATCTTCTCAGCAAATTAAATATGATAAGAGTTCATTGCATCCTCAATAATTCCGCTTAGCCTCTTTTAGCACTCACAAGGTTGTTTATTTTTAGGATTTGATTCGTATGGGAATTCCTGATCAGTTTCGGCCGATGATATGGCAACTCTGCACCGGGGCGTACGGTTCTCCTCTAAAGCAGAACTATCACAAATACCTTCGTGACGTCTCACCGTTTGAGCGCGCCATCGCTCGGGACATATCGCGGACCTATCCAAAGCACGACTTCTTTAAAGACAAAGTATGGGAATAATGTTAAACTTGCATTTTAATCTGAGTAATTCCATTTAACCGGAATCCCTCCATGCTCTTTTTGGTTAGAATGCGGAGCTGTAAAATCCTCCAGCACACTGACTCTGTCTCCAATGTAGGGGCCATAGATTACAACTTTATTTTAAGGCTACTTAAGGCCTTGAAAAGGTAGCTCAGTTCTTTGGTGGGCGGATGATGTAAATTGGAGAACTCTTGCACTTGTATGCTCATTTCCATATGCTTTGAAATACGATATTATTCGCTACTTTAGAAGAAGCAAAAGTGGCATGCAATTAGTACTTCGTCTTAAATTGTGTTCGCGTGATCGACTTAGGACTCATGGTGGAAAATTATCTGGAGAATCGTAGATGTATGAATACTTGCCTGCCTGTAAGTATTGGCCCCCTTCACTTCCGATTACTTTTTTGGCTTTGGGTTTAACTGGTTTTTGTTTCTCATGCTCGCGATCCGACTTTCATACGCCTCATTTTCGTCAGTTACCAGTGGTATTGTTGCCGATAACTTCAAGTTACTCAGTCCTCTTCCGCCTGATCAGGTAATTTTGTCATGCTAAAATGTATTTGCTCTATATAATTGGCAGCTATCTAAATACAAGCCGATCTGGACGATCACTAGCGTAATAATACGGAGACTTCGTTTTAAGATCGGAGGATACTTCCCTCAAATACGCATTCGGTGAGTTTGTTGTGGTCCGGCGTCTGGGCTACCCGTTTCGTGGCCGTATTTGTCGTGCAAAGATCTCCGATCTGCTTTAATCCGTCCGCTTCTTTCATTGTCTGGTTTTGCTCTCGTTATTTTCCTATGTTTGCTTCAATTTATCATCAACTTTAATTACCTCCTCAGGTAATTAACTAAAAAGTTTTATTAGACCTTAGCACCAACTTTCTCACTGTTTAGCACATTGTACTGTTGTTAACGCTTAGTACTCAAACTTCGGGCTTACTTGAGTAGAGCCAAATTTCATTAACTTGAAAAGATCACATAGGCGATTCTTTTGCTCCGTCGGCTAAACGACTCGCTAGTATATTGTTGATTTTATTTTCATTTGTATATTCACCTTTATTACATTACGTTCATTGATACTGCGTATACTGAGTGGCTTATTCTGCAGATAAGCTAACTTGCTTCATTCTTTTAGGGGAGCACTGGTCAGCAGAGCCTCTTCAATGTGATGAAGGCCTACTCTCTGCACGACCGCGAAGTCGGCTACTGCCAGGGCTCCGGATTCATTGTTGGCCTCCTTCTGATGCAGGTGCGCTCTATGTGTTGACATTTCATTCTACGCAGTACATGAATGCGAGTTGTAAGGATTAGTGATGGTCCCAACCTTGTGGTATAGACTCATAAGTGGTCGTGCAATTCGCAGTTGTTCCGTAAAAAAGATAACCCTTCTGAATGATGGAATCAGACATTAACTGAACATTGGAAACAATTCATCAGTATTTTGTACGGTAAGTCTCCTCCTCCGTCGGCGGTAAAGGTTAATCAAGTTCAAGTGCGTTTTTCGCTGCAATTAATTATGCTGAGCATAAACTCCTTAACAGTTGGTGTTCGAATTTATGCTTTTTTAAAAATATCGAACAGGCTACAGTGGATGATATATAATCAGGTTTTTGGCAGGGTTATAGTTTTTATGATATTAAGCCTTCATACTTTGGATTTAAAGGGTATCCTGCGTCCACTATAGGGAAACAGAAAAGTGGTTTGACCATAGTAGGGGGCCCTTTTGAATGCTACAATCTAGCCCGCGCCGGAGCGATTTCTGCTGCTCCTTTGTCGTATTGTCAGTGACATTTAAGAGCCCTAGGTACATGCCTGGTTACCTTTTCATCCGTCTGAAATACCCTGTGATTGTGGAATTTCGCTTTATGTATAGTAACACTTCCTGTGCTGTTCGACAAACCTTTTTGGTTACTGCTGAGTGTAAGCAGCAATTTTAAACGCTCATGCGCAGGTAGTTTTAGTTTAAGTTTGCTATTTGCGTTTTTATTGAAATCGCTTAGAAATAACTTGTAGTTGGGTAGAGCCATCTGAGAGATTTCTACATTTGTGTGAGTGAAGTCTAGGTTTTTGAATTCGCCCTACCGGGCCTGAGTTTGAGAAATATGCTGCGAAGATTTAACTTTTTATATTTACTTTGTCCCATGCAATTAAAAGCATTAAATAAAACTATATTCTGCACTGGTGCACTTTAAGTGCTCCCAAAAGCCTCTTAAGCGTTGCAGAAGCTCTTTTGATGTTTAAACAAATTTAGATGCTGAATATGCAAAATCTACAGGTAGTCAACTAGTGCCAATACTATTCAGACCGCTGTCATGTTTTCCTAGCGTATCTACTGAATGCGACGTGACCTCTTCATTGTCCGGTATACAGGATTGATATACCCCGATACCGAGCACCCGTCTCTCAGCAGCCAACACAAACACTTTTGAGGCTAATGCCACCAGTATTTACTCTTACCACCTAGTTTACACCTCCAAAAGGGGAGAAAACTTAGCCAGAGTGCCTCAATTCACGTTCCAGCAGGAGTCGCCTCCGTGGTGAGCGTGAATGCGATCTCGCCATTCGCTCCCGAGTACAGGCATGACGACCATTGATCGCGGGCGTAATGCTATCCGCTGATGTGAACTGAAATGTGGGTTGCGCGTAATTGTTGCTTCCTCTCCTGGAGGTTTGATTCGCGCGTGTCTGTTTGCATGCCTAGCGGCTGGCCCTCTTTTCTCCTTCCGGCTGCGTTTGCGAGGCTAGTCGAGTGTACACACACACGCACTGTAGTTGTTTAGTTTCTGTCGCTGCGGTGATCACTCATTAATTCTTGTCATTTCGAGCTGCTGGAGTGGATCTAGGGTCACGTGAGAGGGAGGGGTCTGTGGGAATTTCAAGTCAGTTGGGGGTTGCTTCACACCACTCATGCAGCAAAACACGTCATTTGCTATCATAAACCGCCACTACATGTGCACCACTCTATGCTATGTATACTAATGTGACGACAATGATCTGTGGAAGTGAAATCGAAACGATAACTGAATAAATTTGAAATGCGTTGCTTCCCACGCCATGTTTTGCCTGCACAATATGGAGGACCCGTTGTCGAAATCGAAAATGGTGTATTCTTTTCTTTCGAGTCGAACTGAAATGGACATCCTATAGCAATCTTAAATCAAGAGGCAATCATCGGGCATTAAGCGAACACAAGTATATTATATCGTCGTTTTCGTCGAATAAAAATATGGCCTTTTTGGGTAGATGTAAAAATTCGGCGGGATTTTGTGGTTGGTAGTGTAGGTTACTGGAATTTCGGTTTCGCATTATGCTTGCAAACTGTTTGCATTCCACAACAGAATGTTTATAAACGTCTAATATACTAGTGTATTAGATGGGTGAAATCAGACCAGCCGATATCACCTAAAGCTGACTGTAATGTAAAGTGTCCTGCATTCATTAGGCTTGCGTTGGAAGTGGATGCGGTACAAAGTGGACGAATAGTTTTAGCACATCGTTTAAGTCTTGCTCTTTTATCTGTTCCTGACGCATTTAGATTCCACAGAAGACTTTCCCACACATACACATAATACAGTGGTTTTCATTTGATGAGCTTGCACTAGACGGTGCAATTTAGAATTTGCTTTAGGGCACAAAGTAAATCACCATAAGTTGTCAACTTGTGTGCCAAAAGGTTAGTAGTGTGATACATGTGTTTATGCTGCAGATGGGAGAGGAGGAGGCGTTCGCGGTGCTAGTACAACTGATGAATGAGTACCGGTTGCGTGAGCTTTACAAGCCCTGCATGACCGAGTTGGGCGTGTGTATGCACCAACTGGATGGGCTGATCGCGGAGTTCCTGCCCGAGCTGCACGCTCACTTCGCCACGCAGACTTTTGCTCCCAGCCACTACGCCTCCGCTTGGTTCCTCACCCTCTTTGCCACCGCCTTCCCCATCTCCATGACCACCCGAGTGATGGATCTCTTCATTGCTGAGGTAGGCCATCCCTTCTACTTAGATCTGGTTCCCTGGCTTTAAACATCCCATTTGGTGTGCACTGTGGTAGGGACTTAAATTCTTGAAAATCTCTTGCACAAAAACACCTAGGTCATTGAATTAGTTGCTTCCTTTACTGAGGCTGCTTCACTGTTTGCTATTTGTTAAATGTGTTTTCCTCATCTCAAATCTCTAGGGCTTCGGAGTCATACTGCTTTCCCGCAAATAGGTCATAAAAGTGTCGTTGCTTATTCGTCAATGTGACCAAACTACCGTTTCCTCCCTTTGAATTGAATGAGAATGCTTCAGATGCAAAATTGTTTGTTGTGGTGCCCTGGGACGCAAATTTGAGCTTAAGCACGGAACTATACTTTGGGGTTATAATTTTAATGTAGTCATGCAACCTTTAATCCCAATTACTTTATGCAAAAACCGCGTATGAGAATCAGGGAGTTATAATTGGGTTATTTTACGACATGTAATCCTACACTCGGGTATGCTTTGGAGGCTGAGACGTCAATAAGTAACGCAGCATCGATACGATCACTCACCCTCTCTTCATCCTGTTTGGCCATCTGCAGTTTGTGACATCAAATACCTAAACAAGTCTTCAGAAAATTTCTTACTTCCTTTATGTCATGTTCACGTTTATAATGCATTCAAATACTATAGAACGTCGCATTTGGATGTTGCCGTTTATTACATTTGGAGTTCTACTTGATATTCATAGCCATAGCTGCAATTTTATGGGCATACTTCTTGAAATTCTTTTGAGCTTATTTCCCAGTTTAGGCTGAATTCCAGTTTATGGTAGCCCATTTTTATGAAGTAATTGGTATTGGTGTTTAATGTTTCTTCCATTTCGGTTTCGCATTTGTTCCCCTTCCCTCCATCATATTTCCCACTACTTAGGCCACCGTGAGTGACTGACCTGTGGTATTTCGAACGCACCCAACTCCACTAATCCGGTGATTTATGTTTTCAATGCATAGTCAAGCGATGATTCACAACATCCTTTGAGTGCCTTGCTTTGTGTCTTGGGCCTCTGTAGTATCCAAGACTCATTGCCCCACCTACACTATGACTTGTTCTCTTATTCACTGCTGTGGTAACCATGGCCACCATAGCTTTTCACACACCTTACAGTCAGTTGTCTCTCCACTGTCTTACTCATGCTCCGCATGTGAATGTGTAAACTGTACAACATGTTTATGTGTAGCATTTCTCTGTGCCTCAGCTTATCAAACTACTGCATTTTCTTCCTTTCCTACACTACCAGCGAAAAGCAGATTGCCCAAATAACTTCTTTTGAACTATTACTAACGCTCTGTCCTAGTAAACAACGCTTGAACGCTCTCTTTTATACATTTAGAGCATGACTATTCCAGGGTTCATTAACCTCTCCATGTCTTCTTCACCTTAGCATTCTTTACAAAAGTTTTTTTTTGAAAGCAGTTGATAAAAGCAAACAAACAAAGGTTAGGGTTCAATGGTTTCCTAAAAATTATTCACTTTTACACATGTCATCCGGAGATCATGTTGCTTATAATTTTTAACGGTATGTTGTGTAGCACTTCTGAAGACGAGAGAAGCCATGATACTATTAGGGTAGAATGTGTATTGCCAACACACAGAAGGGCTGTGGGGCTACTGGCGTGGCTCGGAGGCCATGTCGCCTGGCGGAAGTACAAGCAGCTTAGCCCCACGTGCCCACGAAAACAAAGCAGTTACACAAACGACCAAAGTGTTACAACAGAAACTACCTCAGATTATTTGATCCATTTTGATAGGTGACCTCAAATTGCCAGCAGTTAATCTATCCTCTGGCGTCGTCCTTAATTCCTTTTTGTATCTGACTTTAAAGGCATGAAAAATTGACAAATGTTTGACTCATTAGTTGTTGGTCTAGGCGTTGCCTCAACCACCGCCTTGGGGCACTTTTATGATTCGTTATGAGTACGCACCTATCCTACACTGGTGATGATGGATTGAAACATGGTGGGGGCAAGAGTCCACACAACCTACGTGTGCGCTGCTAGCCACGTGTTGGTGTGTGCCTTTCGTCGATTCAAATGACCCTATTTAAGGCGTCAATTAAGCAGGATCACCTAATGACGATCCAGTTTTGCTACGGTATTTATGCCTTCTCGTTTCCTGGCAAACTACTAGTGGACAGTGTATTCATCCATGTACCTACAGGGGGGTAGTTGTTTCCGTGCCGCGTTAACATTTTCCCCTGCATGTACTGTGCAATTCGCGTCTTTGACTCTGTTTTTGACTACCACTGATCGAAATGATAATTTAGTACTGAATCGTTGGCAGTTCACAGAAATTTATCCTAATAGATTAGATCTGACTCACCCAGGAGAAACGCGTGCACCGGTACTTTGAGAGGTGAAAATGTAGCTTTTAGGGTCGTGGAGGTATGTTTTATTTATTACAATTTAATAATCATCAACGTTAGTGGTTACGTATAATGTTCACCAAGTTTACCGCACCATGCTCTTGCAGTGCCCTTTTATTATACGCACAAGTTGGTTCTCGCCTCCTCTCCTCCCTCCTACAGGCATCAAAGTGTAAATTGTGTTTGGCTTTCTAGAAGCATTATTCCCCTGTCATGCCCCGGAACTCCCTTTATTATAACACCGTTAAGTGCCCTCTTGAAAGCCACAGCGTGCTCATTTGAAAGGTAACATTTATCACATTTAGTAGTATTCCTATGGATTTTGGTGTAGAGGTTAAGGGAGAAATTTGCTCGACGATGCGCAGTTGAGGTGCTCTTCTTTTTTCTGTATGATCATATAAATGCGTGAAACCGCCTTCCTTATTCCTCGTACTTTGTGATACTGATTATGGCAACATTCATTTTGACCTCTCGCTTATCGTTGGCCTAGTGACCTGGTTTCTGTGTCCTTTATGTTGACTTAAAGGGGGTTTATGTATTCGTCCCTTGGTGTTTGAGTACTTAAGACGAATTTGGTACAGCCATTGGCTAACTTGAACTATTATTCATTCCTGTATTTGCCTTTCCTCATCGTGAGGGTGCCACGGTACTCTCTAAAGATACAGTACACTACACTTTTCTAGATTTTCATTTGAGAATTTAAAAAAGTTCCTGAGCGACTGCTGAATTGCGTTTTTTACCTTACCATGTTAAAATTAGTGGAAGAATGCTCTGAATGTTCCTAAATGGTGCACAAAGAACAGGATTGCGTGCAATTAGCGACACTCATGAAACTAAATCTTCGAAACAGCCTTACTAAATCGTCAATTTTCTTTAGACTTCGACAATGGCTATGTGGTTGTAATGAAGAGCTACCAACTCCTCTGAAAATGCATTATGAGTTCCGACGACAATAGTAAACGACTACAAATTATTTCTGTTTTTTATGTTTATATATACAATCCTGACTTTCTACAATCCTTACATAGAACTCATTTATTAAGGGCTTGTGATTTGGGCGAACAACTAGTAAATACTAATGGCGAAAAGGGCTTCTTATGTATTCCGTGGATGGAGGCTCAATTTATCATCACAAATCATTCATTGGGGTTATGGTGTCATGGTGAATTATTAACGCCAGCAGGAATGAATTGGATGACCGGCGAATTAATTAAGTCGTTTATTTTGATCTATTCATGGAAATTTGTATTTTAGGGCATGGATTTCATACTTCGTCTTTCATTGGCCATTCTCAAGCAGTTTGCCCCGCGCCTTCTCACCATGGATATGGAGACAATGATTTTTGTAAGCCGCCTTCTTTCCGTGAACATACTGTTTAATGTTGCCTTCATTTGTAGGCAGCAAAAGTGGTAGAATTTTGTGCTCACTACTGTGATCGTTCTCTAAACACCTCAATCCTTCCAGTATTTCACTGTCCTGGTTTCCTTTTCTAATGCGCTTCCCTTCTATCAGACTAAAGCTTACCTTGATTGAAGTAGAAGTGGAGTTTTAAAGAAATTGCGATTGCTCCAGGAAGTGTCATTTGGCTTGTTTTAAGAGCAGAAAGACTCGTGGTAGTGCGTAACTTTAAACTAATAGATTTGATAAGCTTTCTGTTGCCTCCTCCCCTCTTTAGTCTCTTCAACAAACCGAGTCAACGGAATGGGAGGATCATGGCCGGATACTGTTTGAGACCGCGCTAACTCTAAAATTAAATCCACGACGCCTGAAAAAGTACGTTTTGTCTAATTTCGCTGGCTTTAGTTCTTAACTTGTAACCATGAATAGTTCCCCCCCCCCCCCTGATTTTTGGTACTTTCGAGGAATTCAATTTTGAAACTGCCTTTTAATATTTCATTTTTATAAGTTCAGTAGACTTCATGCATTGTTTAGGCAGTTTCTAAAGTGAATGTGGGCCACCGGGCCTTTCATAGGTCAGATTTGGCAGTTTTGTTATCATAAAGGACTAGAAGGTTGATTGTCAGTATGAGTGCAAAATCAAATTGATCTATGTCGCTTCCAAAGACACAGAGTTCAGTTTTGCTTACCACAAGTCATTCTTCAATATATTTTGAGAAATGTATAAATTCTAGTGAAGTATATTAAATTCGTGTTATTGTATCCCCTATAATCAGCTTATTTCACTTGATGTATGGGTAAATTTGTCTCCTTGTGATGCCAAGTTGAGCTGTTGATTTCATTGATGCCTTATGATCGTAATTTGTAAATTGTGGTAGTTTTCACTGAACAGTTGAACATGTAGCACTGCTTCATTTTTACATTTAGGTTAAAACTCTAAACTTTGTTTAGGCTAGCCATTTTCAATTTAATTTGCCCGTAGATCCTTCCAAAATGTTGACGGTGCTTTGTCTTCGGTGTAAATTCAATTTGTTTCCAGTTGGAATTGGGTCGTTTTTTGTGTTTTTCAACCGCACACCACTTTCGTCGCGCTTATTGCAAAACGGCACAAAGGTGCCTTTTTTGCCTTCAGCTCAACTCTTGTGACTGAAAAGGCAACTCCGTTTCCAGTGTAAATCGGCTTTGATCTATGGAGGGTTCATTTCAGAATAAAAGGGTCTTCCTTTCACGTTAAAACGCAACCTACTGATAAACATGTTTCTGATTATATTGCGTTTCAACGTATTCGTGGTTTATTAACTGACTTAAACGCATCGAATTTAGTGAATAAATAAAGGCAATGATAATAAAATGAAATACCCTCTGTTGTTTTGCCAAGGCACAAACTGGTGACTCACACTTATTCTAACGATAACTGCAGCTGCGGTTGATTTACTTCCATGTGGAAATTGTACATAACCTTTTATTGCTTTGCAATAAGACTTCAAATTTTGATTTGCCCATGTAAAGGCCATTTGTCTCCTTTTCTTCTGGATGATAGTATCTTTAGTTGGATGGGAGGAGTTGCTATCTGACTGCAAATTGACTCCCACTGTCGGCGTAGTTGGGATCCTGTGGACTTTCATTGTCCACTGACCAGCCATTGTGGTAATGCTCTGTTACCTGGATGGGGACTTGGTTGTCATGCTATGGCATTTTACTGTTGGCATTTGAAAAGGGCATTGACAATACCATTAACTAGCCTTTCAAAGTCACTTAAGGTTCCACTCTTCTCGCTTCATCAGTTTCTAAAGCTGGGTTTTTGGAATGGCGATTTCGACCTGATCGACTGGAAGAACTGTGCCAAGGCAATTTCTGGCCAGCTCCCGCTAGGGAGATAAGTATTACCATGTTTCCCTTCACTGGACGTGATTCCAAGTTGTTCTTTGTCCGCGCAGCTGGTAAGGAGCGTTTAATCAGTTCACGTGAATTCACTTGCTTCATGGCAGTATTTTGCTTAAGGTGGAATGTTTCTGGTTCTGGTTAATTGATGAATTCTCATAGCACTCTCGCCTGCTTGCTATTCATACAGATAGCTTTTTTTATATAATGAGAAAAAACTTGACCTATGCTGGAGTGGTTATTTTTCCTTCTCGAAGTAAATATGCCCGTTTCCCAATAGTAGCCCTCTTTTCGTACGAACTATTTTGAGAATCTAGAGCTGTTCTGGGTGTATTTTACTGCCACTGGATACTTGGAACGTTTCTCCCCACCACAGTTTAAGCTTGCTCTTTTGGAGAAAGGCAAATGTTTTTTACCTTTGCTGCCAAGGCTCCTCCGCTCAACCACGTCGTTTTTATATCTGTCGCAATTTTCGTTTCAACTTTGAAGTGAAAATGCTCCAACACAGTCCTGTAAATGTTTCATGTAACATGACATATTTTGTATATGAACATCCTAGTGGTGTTGACGAGCACATTCAAGCATTCAGTGACATTAGTCTGAGGTTGTTGCGAATGTTGGGAAGTTACAAAAGTTATTTTAGGCTTAACTAATGACCTAGAACAGTGAATCACTCTAAATACACATTAAATTTTTCACATCTTTTTAGACTTCGGAATGAATACATCTTGGCAAGAAGTCAGGAGCAGGCAGAGCAAATAGAAGTCAGGGTATGAAGATGCTCTCTTGCTTTACTCTTCTTTCCTCCCGGCACTATTTTTCTTTCTCTCTCCCGCTTCTTAGGCTCTAGATTTCTGTTCGTGACCTATGTGCCACTTGCCTTCGCAATGCATCCACACTTTGATGAAACTAACAGCTACCCTTTCCCCACCCAAATGTCATTCATCCACACCTAATGGGATACCCGTCCGTAACACTAAAGCACAATTTAATATCATCTAGTTGGCAATTTTAAGCGGTACTTGTGAAAAAAATACACGGTATAACTTTACCTGGCCAAATTTAATTCATATGTTTTCTATCTGAGAATTGTTCCAATTTAATCGTTAACACTTTAACCTACAAATTCCTAATTTCGTTTCAACTTACCGAATCGCTTTCCCTTTAATCTACGTGGATTATTTCACCCTCATGTTTTAGCGGCTTCGAACAGAAAATGGCCTCCTGCTGCAACGGCTGGCCCGTTTAGAGGAGGTAAGTGAGTACAGACTGTAACTGTCAACAACAGAGATTATTTGTTTATGGTAGTGTTCAGGCTATGCTAAGCCTACTTTTGGATTTCTGTACTCAAAAAGCTCTTGAAAGTTGGGGGTTTTCATAGCCCAACCATTGTTAGATGTGGCCGAATGTACCTCTCACTAAAGTTCGTTGATTGTAAGGCTCCGCGTGCTTTTTTAAACATGTGAATTTGCTGTTTGCATTACTAAGAAATAATTTGAACTGAAAAGGGGGCTTAAAGAGTACCTTTAAGGAGTCGTTTATACCAAAAGTCTTTGCTTACATCCAAGAATGAGACTGGCTTTCATAATGTGGTTTTGGGTTGTTTGCCTGGTAAATAGCTACAATGGCAACTCGGGTAGCTTTCAAGTGTAACGTCTGAAGCGCTTTTGCCTTTCGTACCCCTTTGTTATAACTTAGAATAGAGTTAGCGCGCTAAAATTAATGCTTTAAAGGTAGCACCTGTAACGGATGGCTGATTATAGTTGGGAGAATTATGAGGGCCATTTTCTTCATAAATCATTTCCCCAGATTGAAGAATGGAAGGGTCCCTTCGATAATTCTTACGTTTGGACTGTTAGGACTGGGGTTACGTTGATGCGCGTCATCAGGAAGCAGTAGTGTATTAAGTTGCTCCAATGATATCTTTGCGGATGAAGTATATGTATTGTTAGCAATGTAGACACGAAAAGCGTGTAGTCGTTCAAATAACAATCTTCACCAATGACCATCCTGGTAAACCCGTCGGATTCAGTCTCGAGAACTAATATTCAGACCATGCTACTTTGGGTTATAACCTCACTTAGCGTGGAATTGTATCCCGATTTTACCAAATATTTGGGGCATGCAAGGCCAGCAATTTTGCCGGTTGCTCTTTATCACCCTCCTTCCCTCTGCATCAAGGACAACACCTATTTGGCAAAACAGCTGGTGGGTTGTAACGTGGAACGGGCCGAGTTATCGGAGGAGGTGTCGCGTTTGCGCGGCTGCATTGCGCGGTGGCAGGCGATGCAAGAAGAGGCGTCACTGCGCACCCCCACCACCTGTTCTCCACCTCAGGCTACGACTGCGGCGGTAATATTGGAGAATGATGATACCAAGGTCTCTGATTCCTCTTCTTCCACCTCCACCTCTCCCTCTGCCTTTTACCCCGGTTACGAGGTGGAGTCATTGCCGGCTACGCCGCTCCCAGCACCACCGCTGCCACAACAACCACATCGGCAGCAAGGGATGAAGATGTCAGCTATCTGCAATGGTGATCAGGTTGTCAATGTTTGATTTCGTTGTAGGTTTCCGCTCCCCTCCCCCTTTGTCTTCATCTCCCATCCCCTTCTCCCACTGCTATCGTGATGGTAGGGTGGTGCTCATGCATGTCTTTCAACAGTTACAATCCCCATGATTTGCGAGCCATAATTTGTCGCTGCCTGCCTTTTCTGCTCCTTTTTTGCTCCCTTCTTCCCCTCAACCATCTATTTTTGCATGTGCATAAAGCCTTCCCTGTCTGCTCTGCATGGGCTA